TTTCCCACCCGCACTGCCTGGGGTCTGCCCGTCAGGAAGTTCAGGATCCAGTCACAGAGGGCGCTGTTGAGCCCGAGGTCTCTGAGCTTGATGGCCAGCTTGGAGGGCACAATGGTGTTGAATGCTGAACTGTAGTCAATGAACAGCATTCTCACATATGTGTTCCTGTTCTTCGGGTCCAGGTGTGAGAGGGCAGTGTGGAGGGTGAGGGCTATGGCGTCGTCTGTGGACCTGTTTGCTCTGTAGGCAAACTGCAGGGGGTCCAGAGATTCAGGGAGGGAGGAGGTGATGAATGATTTGACTAACCGCTCAAAGCACTTCATTATGATGGAGGTGAGTGCTACTGGGCGGTAGTCGTTGGGGCAGGTGATGATTGTCTTTTTGGGGACAGGAATGATGGTGGAGTGTTTAAGACATGTGGGGACTACAGACTGCAGCAGGGACCTGTTGAAGATGTCTGTGAACACCTCTGCCAGCTGAACTGCACACACCCTGAGAACACGGCCAGGGATGCCATCAGGTCCAGGAGCCTTGTGTGGGTTAACCCTTTTAAAGGATTTACACACATCTGCCCTATTTAAAACAAAAGGGCAGTGTAGCTCCTGGTCCATCTGTACCTCCACAGCCTGGCTGCTCTCAAAGCGTGCAAAAAAACTGTTTAGCTCATCTGGGAGAGATGCGCACGCAGACACTCCCTTAGTCCCGCCCACATATTCCTAGTGTTACAGCCTTTGAAGTCAGATTCCACCTTGTCTTTGTACTGTCTCTTTGCATTTTTAATTGCTCTCCGGAGTTCATACCTAGACTTCCTGTACTCCTCCAAATCTCCCGCTGTGTGCGCGAGAGTGCGCGCTTTCAGTTTGCCGCGCACCTCACCGTTTACCCAGGGCTTTTGATTTGGGAATGTCCGTACAGAAACCTTCGGTACCACGTCATCGATGCATTTCCCAATGTAGCAGATGACAGTGTCCGTGTGTGTGTTGATGTTATTGTCCTCAAACACACTCCAATCCGTAGATGCAAAGCAATCCTGCAGTGCTGAATCTGACTCCTCGCTCCATCGTTGTACTGTTCTTGTAATCGGTCTGTCCCTTTTAAGTTTCTGCTTGTACGCAGGCAACAACAGTAGTGAGATATGGTCTGATTTGCCGAAGGGAGGGCGAGGGAGAGCCTTATATCCATTCCGGAAAGGGGAATAAACATGGTCCAGTATGTTTCCCCCGCGCGTCGGGAAGTTGATGTGTTGGTAATATTTTGGCAAAACCTTCTTCATGTTGGCGGTGTTGAAATCTCCGGCCACAACGAACGCCGCATCTGGCCGTGAAGTCTCGGTTTTATCAATAAACCCAAACAGCTGATCGAGTGCCGTGTTGTTGTCGGCGAGTGGCTGCGGCGGGATATACACTGCTGTTATCACAACAGATGTGAATTCCCTCTGCAGATGGAAGGCCCGACATGAGATCATGAGGTGCTCTAGCTGTGCGGAACAGTCCGATGAAATAATCTTCACATCTGAGCACCAGTTGTTGTTAGTCATTACACACACACCGCCTCCCTTACTTTTCCCCGAGTTAGCAGTCCGGTCCTGACGAAAAATAGAGAATCCATCAGGGACAATGGCGGAGTCCGGGATAGCGGGGTTGAGCCAAGTCTCAGTGAGAATTAACACGTTACAGTTCTTAATGTCCCGTTGAAAAGCAATCCGGCTTCTGAGTTCATCTAGCTTATTTTCAATGGATTGAACATTAGCCAGAAGAATACTCGGAAGAGGGGGCCGATTCTCTCGTTTTCTCAGTCTGACCAGCAGCCCGGCCCGGCATCCCCGCTTTGTCCTCTTCTTGCGTCTCTCAGGTAGAACAGCAACAGGTAGCCATGGTGAATCTCCATTGTTTGTCGGAGGGTTAATATTGTCCACGAAGTTTCGCAATTGGAAAAGTTCCTCTCTGCTATATTGTATGGCAGAGTAGGTGCGGTCGGCTAGCATGTTGCGAACCATGTTAAAAGTAAAACGGCAAAAGTAAAAGAAATATGTACAAAATACGAAAATGGGCAAAGTTGGAGAGGAGCACATAGACGATGCGGCCATCTTCACCGGCGCATCAATACAATCAATACAATCAATAAATGTAAGATGTTGTTTAATCGCTGATATATTTATGATCCACGTCAAGTTTTCAGTTTTGGCGGCAGTTCCTGCTTGTCTAGAAGTCTTGTCATCAGGGCTCTATAAATAGAGTTAACTACGGCAGATATGTCATATTTAATGCAGCCGAAACGTGTATTACAATGCCGTTGGAAGGATATAATTACAGTTTATCCGATTTTGAGTAAATCTACTGTTATCCAGCTCTCTTTGTGTGTGTGTGTGTGTGTGTGTGTGTGTGTGTGTGTGTGTGTGTGTGTGTGTGTGTGTGTGAGCCAAAGTGCTGCACATATAATAAAAATACCTACAGTAAGGACACTTTACAGTAAATGCAACAGCAAAGTTTGTGCGGAATATCAGTATGAGAAAAACGGCATCATCTGTCCTTTGACCCTCACATCGTACAAGGAAAAACTTCCAGAGAAAAACCCACAGTTAATATACACACATTCCTTCACATTTACATTTTAATTTACATTAAAGTATTTCGTGAGGCCTTCTAACATGTTTTTAAATATAACTACAGTTGTAGTTGAAGAGTTTGTAAATGAACATGAACCAAAGCTGTTGCCTTTTGCAATATACAGGGTGTTTCTCAATCGCGAGTACGCTTGCTTGGTAGCACATGTCTGCCGAGCATCTTGCTTCAGAAGCGAGTCAAGAATACTTCCTGGCATTCGGAAAACAAAGAGTGGAACAGGCTAGCAAGTGTGCAGGTGTGCGTATTATGAGAGGCCCCGCCTTACATCTTCCGCCACAGATTTGGGGAAATTGGTCCATGCGCAAAGCATTGTGGGGATTTTAAGACCGTGGAGTCTACTCATGTGCAGCCTCGATATTTCTCCAAACGGAGTACGCCGGGCTCGGTAGATTTCCAAGTATGCTGGAGATTGGAACAGTACTTCGGCGGCACTCGATGACGTAGTATGCTTGAAATAGTGGCTCTGAAGCAGCTTTACTCGCGATTGAGAAACACCCACAGTCTATGGTTGCTACAGAGGATTGTGGGTAATGTAATGTCTTCGGCCATCCAAAACTCATAGAAAACAACTTGTTTCTCAGAATTGAAGGGGAAAACGTGACAAAAGCATTGTACACACACTAAAACCTATCAATGTCGTTTAATTAACAAGGATAATCTGGTGTTTTTGAGTTGATGAGTAGTGGAGATATCACTGTCAAATCAATCGACAGTAAGGGGAATACTTACTTCCGGGTGTACAATTCTCCGTTATCCAATGGGAATGGGCGCTCACATTGCCTTTAACAGCCTCCGACACAAACGAATGCCGTGCTTCCATGAGCGTCAAATCCCGCCGCAGATGGGAATACATTGCAATCAGTTGAAAGCTATTTGCGTCTGTTTATGAAGCTGAAGGAGCCTAGGAGCGTCCCAACTGCACGCCTCGGGACCCTGACCAAGCGTCGCTCCTGGACGTTTATGGAGTGAGAGTGTGTTGCCCTGAGCAAGACACTTCACCCCAAATTGCTCCTGTGGGGATTGCCCACAGTATTGAGTATGTAAGTCGCTTTGGATAAAAGCGTCTATCAAGTAACATGTAATGTATTGTAACTAGATATTAATATGAAAAATACAATGAAGGATGAAGAATGACACCTAGCAGCACTAGTCTGCTGCTGTTAGCCTCCGATGCTCTTCACTGACTGATCTGAGATCAGACACAGTGCAGCTTCACTTCCTCCACGGTGTGTTACGGGCCCATTACATTTATTTTCATGTTTAACAGATGAAATGCAGTTTTGATTTCAGATTGAGGTGGATATACCTTTTCACTTTTCAGGACATCTCTTCAATATAATGTAGGAATGTTTCAACATGTTCAAAGTGTTTCATTTCAACACACAAATGAAGTCATTGAAGAGGATACAAAGTTATTAGTGTGTTGAGTATCTCAAATTGTTGATTCAAAGCCCAGTTGTGCAGACTCATTTGTTTTATTTTTCTGGCATAGTTTGTCCTCAAGTATTTTATTTTATAGCCTATTAGTTTTGTATTACCAGAATACATTTGCCAAATCTTGGGCTAAGTAAAACTAAGGCAGTGAAACTTCCTAATAAATTAGGCCACACAAATGTCATACCACAGAAGAAATGTGTACCAAGCAGAACAAAACAGGAAGCTACAAACAGGGCATGTGAGTCCCTGAACACATCATGAAGGACTGATTATGGCTAATGTGAAGCAGGTGACCTCAGAAGACCTGAAGGGAGAAGGGAAGACCTGCAGGAGGTCAAAAGCTGTACACAGCAATCAACAGTGGTGCTGTTGTTAAACGAGAAACAGGACTGTAGACAAGGAGAAGAATATATATTAGAATTAAGATATATTTTTCTCAGCAGAATGTACAGAATGTGCTTTGAATTGGACCTCCTGCTTCAGCTTTCTGTCAAACACAACTCACTTGTGGAGTTCTTTAGAATGATATTTTGTTTAAAGGTCACCTTTTTATGCAAAATCCACTTTTTCATGTCTTTTATACATAAACATGTGTGCCCTCTGTCTACAGTTTTTTATTATTAACCAATCATCTCTCAGAGGGGCGTGGCCAGCAGCAACTCATTAGCATTTAAAGCTACACACAGAATCAGCACTTTTGAAACAGGGCTGAAACAGAGGGGTTTATGGGATGCTATGATCTGTTTGGTGTTTCAGTCAAATACTTCAGAGACATGTTTTGTATATATCTGAGAACTATAATATACTGTACTGTTGAAAAATAGTATAATAGGTGTCCTTTAAATTCTGATCATGCAATGGAACAATTTGTCAGTCATTTTTTTGCAATGATATATAATGAATGCATAATTCTTAAGTAAAGAAACGGAAAACAAGATGTTCTTATTAATCATTTTAATGCTGGTGAAATACAGAAGTCACTGGGTGCAGAAGAGTACGAGATAACAGGTTCATGTGATCTGATAGACGTTTAAACATGGTAAGATGAGTCAATGAAAACCACCTGACATGAATCATTTAACATCTACTCTGCTCTGCCACACAGGGAACTCTGGGTTGGTCTCTGAATCTCATCACAGAACACATTTACTTTGGGAATCTGGTCTCATTGGTCATCACAGCCACAATGGGATATTTAAAGGGTTCAACTGGAAACGCTTCTGCCTGTTTACATGCTCTTTGAACGGCGTGTCTCCCTGGAAACAGTGAGATTGGTCAAAGTTCACAGAGGTCAGATAAACCTGCTGCTGCCTGCAGGAGCTCACCATCTCCAGCACGTTTATTTTTACAGAGAAATCAAATAATGGAAATGATGAGATTTTCACGCATTTCCCTACGATAGAAAGTTGTTGCCAGAGGAGTCAGTTGGCTGAAAATATGTTTAGTCGTGAAAAAGCTGCTGGTTCTTTTTGGTGGCAGTCCAAACAGAGACACTATCTCCATCTGGTATCAACAGGCCGTCTGTATCTGGTTTTCAAACAGAAGTCTTTTGGACTTGATGTGTTGTTTATGGTCAGAGTAAGTATGGCGAGATGTGCTCCATTCTACCTTTTTGTATTGTTTACTTTTGTCACTTTCTTTTATAGAAAGTTGTCTTCAGTTTGTTTATGAGTTAGCTAGTGGGCGCCTTTTGCTTTTGAGGTTATTAAACAACATCTTTGGGTTCGACAAGTCTTTTTCCCCCCTGGTTATTTAAACTTTTGTTACTCCCCTTTGCCCCTAGAGTGTTGGGCAACGTCACATCGACCACAAAGCTCTGTGGAGCTGCAGCGAGCTGCAAAGCTGCATCACATTATCGCCCTTCCACACTGAAGAAACTCACACATTGACTTGTGTTAACTAATCTCACATAACTGTATTAGATTAGTTGAAAGCAATAGTATTAAGTTGAACCCAATAGTATTTATTTCAACTTAATATTGCCTCCAACTAACCTAATACAGTTATGTAAAATCTATTGACACAACATATTTAATTAAAGTCAACATTTCAGTTTTTTCAGTGCATATTGTAATACATATTGATCATAGCCCATTTAACCTGAGCATTATTGAATCATTTTTGTTGAGAAGTCCGCCAATTCATCCTGTTAGGAGTGCAGCTCCAAGAAGAGAGAAAGAGAACACTTATTAATAGTCGGTGTAATAAAAGTGGGTCTAACAGCAGAGGCCTCAGATCAGATACAGATCACATGTCAGTCCTAGAGACGGGTCAGGAAGTCAGAGGATGGTTCTGGGTTGATTTGCGCTAAACGCCAGCATGAAGTGCTCCTCTGCTTAACTTCCTCATGGAATGCTGGGTTAATTCTACTGCAGCAGCTACCTGTACGTACATTGAGATCATATGACAACAAATAAATAAAACCTTGCTGGATCCAGTTAAAACAGCAAATGCCTTCCACCCACCCGTAAGCACAGAGGACTTGGAACAGGTGCAATGTAATAAAGAATATTGGTTACGCTGTGAGGTCAGAAGATGTTACAGATAACATGGTCAAACACTTTGAAAGGAATATTAAAAGACTAGTTACAACGTGCCAAACGATATGGCTTATACACACCCAGGCTGTAGAGAAAGTGGACCCTCCCCCCCCTTCACCACACAGATCACATCCAGAAGTTTTCATTGAGCCTTAACACAGAGGGAATGAAGGGAAGGGTAAGCCCATGAGGAATGAGGTACAGTACAAATGTACCTGATCAATTGGAATATCTTACATCGTAAATCATTATCAAGTAAACAAAATGAAATGACAGCTTTTACATTAAGTTATAAAGTGTGCATGTACAGAACGGTGAGGGTCTACCTGAAGGTGAGTCTTACAGAGCATGACATCGTGAGAGGAATATAGACGGGCCTCTGCCCAGGAATGACATGTGTCCTAAAGTCTTAAATAAGAATGAGAGAAGTGAAAATACTATGATTATATACAATCCCACTTCTTCATATTCCACAAGTACATTTCCCATTTCTTTCCCCCATTGAGCGTGTTGTAGACAGTAGGGGGGGGGGGGGGGGAGCTGGACTCAACTACACACCATCATGCAACCAGCCTTCACTCTGGAACTTCATATTAAACATGTTTATAGGATGAGCATCTTTTAGAGTTTTAATGTCCTGTGCCTTTTCAAAGCTTTGCGTTCTTCTGCATTGTGTCTGCTTCTGTTTGGAAAGAGCCTATCTCAGATTGGTGTTTGAAGAGAAGAAGTTGGAATGATTCTGGCTTTCCTATCTGATCATTACCAAATCAGCGGTGGAGAAAGTATTCAGATTCAGTCACCAAACGCACTATTACAAACACATCCTGAATGTACAATGCAACATAAAGGAAGATTATGGAAGATTTCCACTTCCTGTTGAGTCAGTGTGGCTGGATGAGGTAACATCACAGTTAAGGAGCCTGGAGCTCCTGATGAGATATGAATAAGGACGAGGTGTCCCACTGTAGCCTCTGTAGATAAGACGAGTAGCAAAGCATGTTAATGTTTGCTTACTTCATGTTCTGTACACATGTTTGCTAAGGAGTCACTCACAGTAATAAATACACTTCACACTACTTTACGATAGGTCAGACACACCCCAACAATCTTTAAACATAACTTAAAAGATCGTTGTTTTCCAAGAGTTCTAATGTACTCTGTCCTGTTTTTTTTAAGACACATTACACAGAGACATCTTGTGGTGCATTTTTGCATATTTTATACTCAAACAGTGTCTCCACTATCTCCAGTAAAACAGTCTTGACTCCTTGTATTGCTCTAATTACACATTGGAACAGTTAGAGATCCTAAACCGTGTCTTTGCAGTACTTACTTTTACAGTACAAGCTGCCGAATGTCTTGAACATTAGTGCAGTAACTAACACCACGAGTGAACTCATTTCACCAGTGTTCATCTTGTTGCAGCTGTAAGGATTTGTGTTGTCTTTGTGAGCACCCAGCCAGTCAGACAGCTGCTTCAAATGTTTCCTAACAAACTGCAGGCAGCTGCTATGGATCTGAACTTCATGAAGAGTTTGATTAGACATGAAGAAAAGAAAGGGGAAATGTTCTTGAAAAAAAAAGGAAGACACATTTCTGCAGAACACATCATATGTAGAAGGCGTTGTTTCAGACAGAAATCAAAGCTGCCTTCGTGTTAAAGGCCACCTTTGCCATCCCGCCTGTGCTTCAGTGTTTTAAGAGGCAGATATGACTTCATCTACATATTCAGGGTGTACAGGTGAGCTGGAGATGGGCAAATGGCAGTTCAAGTACAACACAAACAACTAAACATGAGGTATGAGTCAATACTCCAAACAAACAACCTGATACCAGCATAGGGTAAAAAAGTTCCATGCAACATGCATGTTTACTGTACACACTCAAGTATGATCATTATATCAAGAGGAAATGTCTAGTGTCTCACCGTATAAAGTAAAGATGTTCTGGACTTTTAGCACATGTGGAAATATAGATATCTATTTCGTTGATTAGAGTGGAGGAAATCTTTCCACATAAGAGCTGGAAGCCCTCGTTGTATGGGATTTTTTTTATGTCTAAACTGCTTTCAACAAGAGGGGCTGACTGTTGATTTACTCCTGCAGTGACACAGGAATCAAGGAATGTACATTAAACATAAATCGTGGATCAATTTAGCGATTATTAATCTCAGTGTGCTGATTGCTTTAGAGTTTGGACTGTTTAAAACCAAGGGACCGTGGGTCTGACCGGCAGCTGGCCGACGGGGTGACGGAGATCTCTCATCTCTCGGGGTCAAAGGTCCTTCAGGGACTTGACGGCCTTGGCCAGGTTGCTGTAGAACTCGGCCATGCTGGAGGGGAAGAACGAGTCGACCACGGAGCGGGGGAGGAAGCCCCCCAGGTCGGTCTGGAAGAAGCTGAACACCTGGGTTTTGTTGGGCTCTCTAGAAGAAGAAGCACAACAACACGTCAGACACAGAAAGAGGAGCAGGACTGCAGTGAAGTCGGTGTGTCGGTGTGTCGGTGTGTCGGTGTGTTGGTGTGTTGTGTACTCACCCTGAGATGGGAACACAGATGCAGCCACATGGATGGTTGAATCCTCTCACATAGCCAGACTGGGGGGGGCAGCTCGGGTGGCTCACATTAGTGGCTGTTGAAACACATGTTTACACATTTGTATGCATCATATTGATCCTTCTGTCTGTGGTAATGTGGCTCTCCACCATATAAGCACACAACATAAATTGAGTTAAATCTATTTCCCAAACAAGGTAGTGTGTTCTGTGCCTTTGCAGGCTATTTACATACACAAAAACCTATAGAACACACTACAGGAGAGGGAACACCTATAAAGCAGAATATGGCCCCTTTAAAAGATTTATAGTCTTTTAGTCAGAAAACTGACCAAAGGAATTGAGCCCATTTCATGTTGCCGATACATTAGGATCCATCTGTTACTCGGATCTTAACTTTCATTTTTTTTGGCTATCAGTGAAACTAAGGCTGCAGCCACACGGAGACGATACGGGTCGTATCCGCTACAGTTCTCTATCATAGACGCTTCGGCCACACGAGGCCGACAGGGAAACGCAGAAACGATAACGATAACGATAACGATAACGATAACGATAACGGGTCCTAAGGTGGGTAGATCTGCAGACGCAACGCTCTGGGGGGCCAAACGGCTCCGTGTCTACGCCCTATACGATCATTTCCTGATAATGATGACGCAATAGCCCCGCCTCTCCCCACCTCTACTGCTCCCCCCCGCGTCATTGCTGATGTGTTTCGCCAACAACAACAACAACAACAACAGTGTTCCAAGTGTTTCGAGCCAGGTCCCGGTATCTCGCAGGACAGTGCACCCAGCAGGAGCCTCCAGCAGACCCCCCCGCACGGTTCCCTCGTCCCTTGGAAGAGGCGGAGAGGTGGGTGTTTTTCATCTGCTGGTGGACTACCGGGGAGAACGTCCTGCTCGGGAGCCAGGCTCAGAGTTAGTGGCAGTGGGTGCGGTGCACCTGCCTTTTACAGCAGGAGCACACGCTTGCCTCGGGGAGGGAGAAAAAGAGAAACAGCAGCCGCCGAAACAGCCAGAGCCCTGCCTCCCCCCACCTCTGCTGATGTGTTTCGCCAACAACAACAACAATGGCAGATCACAGGGTTGCTTTCGTGCTCCAGACGCTACTGACCATGCTACAGATGTTAGTACAACATCTACAGCTCCTCTACCACAACCATCAGCAACAAGTGGACATGGAGAACTACATGAACTACATGTTGCTAAATCCACCGCGGAGAATAACCAGAAGGGCAACCATGGCAACCATGCTCGGGGGTCTTATTTGCTGCTTTTGGTGTATTTTGTGGCAGAAGTACAGTGCCACTTACAGGCCAGCGGGTCGAGCGGTCTCGTGTGGACGGACACATTTCTGGTGCCGATTGCGTGTGGACGAAAGACTTTTTTGATATCGAATTCGGTTAGTTTTCATTTTCGTTATCGTCTCCGTGTGGCTAGGGTCTAAGTCAAACGGGTCAATAACACGAGCAGTGAGCTATAAATCATGCTGTAAACAAACTATAATCTCCTGTCGGCTCACGTCCTGGGAGGGGGTTTTTAAACTCTGATGGATGTTTTCGACTGGCTGCAATTTGAAAACTTTAGCTTAGTTTTCTCTTAAAAACATTTTGTCACCGATTCTTTTCATTATTTTTTTTGACTTAAAATCAGCAACTTTCTAAACGATATTGCTGAGTGTTTAACATGGTTTTAAAATACTGAGCTCATCAGGGGATTCAGTCATCGGATCATAAATGTAATGCACCGGTTAATAATTATCAAGCTTTATCACAAACAGTTTACTGGCTCCACATTTGATATCACATCATTTGCAGTAACGGTTGCTAGGCTAATGTTGAGACGGACTTTTTTCTTGAACGGGACATTGGAGGTCAACGAAATCAATGCGTATATTAAAATGAATTGTCGACAGCTGATGTGAGATTGTCTTGTAAATGTGATGCACCCAGCAAACAGATGTTTGATGATCCAGGATTAAATAAATATATCCCACTAAAGAAACTCAGACTAATATCCAGGTTTGGGGAGTATGGATTACGCAACAGGATTATGTAATCAGGATACACAATGTTTTAACTGTATTCACTTACAGTTACATAAAAAAAAGACGTAATGTGTGTAAAGTGTGTATGTGGTGGTGTGTCTGTTTGTGTGTTTAGATTTACATTACACATGAGGAGAATGATAGATTACAAGTGGATGTTTTAGAAAACCCAGGTTGCATGGTGAAGAAAGCCCTCCTCACAACCAGGACACATATTTCACCCCTTTTTCTTTTAATAATCAATTTGTCTTTTTAGCCTTAATGTAACAATGCACGACAGGGACTGTAATGTGCCCAGCGCTGTTACCACTGGGATACAAAGCTGCTCCTTCGTTTTTTATCAAACATAAAGTAGCAGCAAAAAGAAAGGGAACCCTTTGGAATTTCCTGGTTTTATGCGTGAACTTGTTTGTTAACTCAATTTGTTTTTGTTGAATTCTAGAGGTTTACTGTACATACCTTTTTCCAACCCACACTGTGAATGTTCGCAAAATGATTCAATATAGACAATAACAAAACTATTATTTGTGTGCTAATGTGTTTGTTGATTTTTGGAACTCAGATGAAGATCAGACATATTTCAGAACAAATGTATACATAAATGCAGGATATTCCAAAGGGTTCACTTGCCACTGTATTTGATTAAATTGTCATCTCAGATATAAAAAAAGGAACTTGTCACTACTCTGTTGAGACATGTAGTGTATTCACAACATAGTTAAACCTCAAGACAGCCTTTCTTCAACATCACTACCTCAGGTTCAAAGAGCCTCTGCTGTATGGCACAATTACTTTAAATAGGACGCCAGCACAGGAAGTGGAGGAGAAAAGAGAACGTTTTACGCACCATTCGATGAGATGGTGCCGTCTTCGTATTGCTTGATTAAAATAACATCGACAAAGTCTCGTGGAGCGATGATGCCCATTGCTGCTGAGGGCGTGACCGTCCGGCAGATAGAGATGTGCTGAGTGGGGAACAAGGAGATGTTCAAACAAAGATAAGGTAAAACTAACTTAATATCACTTTACTTTAAACCTGCAAGGATTGTTTCTTTTATTAAATGATGGGGATTTTCCCTACTCGATAAGATAAAGTGGAGTGTAAATGATAACACGCAAAGCAAACAAGAACATATGAGTGACAGTTAGATGAAAATACACACTGAATCCTGTACAAATCTGTCGCCTCTTTTCTTCCTTTTGTGTACTTTGGTAAAAAACCTTATGGAATATCAAACTATGGTTTGATATTTATTGACAACATCTAAAACAGTTTTGCTGCTATTTAAAGATTACAATATTGTTATTATGCAAAATCCACTTGTTCTGTCTTTTATACATCAACATGTGTCCCCTCTGAGTAAAGAGATTCTGAAAGTTTCAGGAACAAAGATTCTCTCTCTTTTTGTCCAGATGCATTCATATAAAAACCTGTCTGAAAATGAGCTGATCAGATTTTGGCCACTTTATGATGTCATAACGATTTTTTGGCTTGGGTAACCATTAGCCAATAACCAACCAAGGTAACCCCCCCCCCCCCCCCCACCTTATCCACTGAATATCCTTCAAGAGCAGTATAACAAGGGACCTTTAAGACATCTAGTCAAGCTTTAAAATATTCCCTCTTTGATGGGAAATCAAAAACTCTGGGTTAACTCATACATATTGATCATGAATAATAACTGTAATCAGAAGAGAGAAAGTAGTAACACACCTCTGTGATTTGTTCCACAAGCTCAAACCTTTTGACATTGTTGTCCCATTTGACTCTGATGCCATTGGGTACGGGCTTCAGACACTCCCACACTTTCTCCGGACTGCCACTGATAACCCCCCCCCCCTTGTAACTGCAGGAAGGACACAACACAGTCAGGAGATCACATTATTAAAGGCATGACTGCTGTTAATTACATTCATACATTACTGGGACAGGCACACAGAGAAACAGTCGTTTATTCAATTCTACACCACCAAGCCTTGAAAGAACTAAAACATGGTTGACTTTTAACTAAATACATCCACAGGTATATCGAGCAGGGTTTGGCATTTAACATGGCAACAACAGCTTACTCGGTGGCCTCCAGATAGAGTGGATTGAGTCCTAAAACTCGGAAATTCGTTAACATTTGATCACTTTCTGTTCCCTCGTCTAGAATTGTTTTTTGAAAATGTTCTATAACACAAAATATGTTCGTAAATAACCCACTGTTCAATGTCTGAAGGTTCTATGTGCCATAAAAACAGTGGTTGCTAACAAGTCTCTAATGGCGCATTTCCACTGCAGGGCCTCGCACTGCTTAGTACGGTATAGTTAGGCCTTGGTAGGCCAGGCTCACTTTATGCTGCGTTTCCATTACAGCTTAGTAGCTGGGGCAGTAACTATAGTAACACAGTGTAGGCGGAGCCGTGAAGTAATCTTCAATGCGAACCACAGAAAACCAACATCAGCCGTTAGCTGTTAGCACTCGGAGCTCACAGCTCCTCATATCTGTTCAGAAACTAGACAAAAGTTAAACAAGTACAAACCACAGACTGCCTGTGTCATGGCGAATAAAGTCGCTGGTTTATTTATGTCTGTATAGGCCGTTGTTGTGAGTGTGGACGGTCGGAGCATATACTGCGTTAGCTTAGCCAATCTCCATTTAGAAAACACGCATTTTAAAAGGTTTTTCACCTGCCGTCTGTCTGCAGACTTGTCAAAGCATTAATTCATGGTTTTTACTAACCGGTATCAGTATGTTGTTACTTCGGCATCATTTTGAAACGTGTATTACAATTAAATCACGGTCAAATATGTTCATCTTGTTGTAGTTGTAGCCCCCTTGCCAGCGATTCTCTCACTAGTTTAGCATACTCAGCCCGATTGTTGCCCGGAAAGAACCTGGATTTTGGAGGGCCAGAAAAACTGTGAGCAGTACCCGTTAGCCGGAACTACCCCTAGTGGAAACGCAACAAAAAACGGGCCGGGTTTGGCACGGCACGCTTAAACCGTGCTACGCGCTGCAGTGGAAATGCGCCATAAAAGAGATTACTAAACATCACACGCCGAACATTAGCCACCTTTAGCTTAGCGCTGGTGATATGACCACATGTACCGTGATGTAGTTTGTTTATAGCCGCCTTAACATTTGCTTTTTACTTCTGGTGATTGCATTAATGCTACAAAAAGTGGTGTTAATATGTGGAGATTATCCTGCTGAACAAAAGGTGTAAGTACCAACAAAAACGTATTATCGGCAATATTCCGAAATCAAATGGGAAAGTCCCATTTCTTTTTTTTGAGGGAGCCATGGCGACGCTGACTGCTGGGTTTGGCCTACAAAAACACGTCATCGCTGCACCACTCTATTGTCCCCAGGACAATGAGACGGCATTAGTATTTTGGCACCTACTGTACTGAAGAAAAAACAGGTAGAGCTAAAGCTAACAGAGCTGGGTTCCATTGATATATAATAGAATGTGTCAAAGCTCTATTCAGTAAATATCAGTACAGGGTAAAGGTAAATTAGAACGTTATCATGATATGTTCAAATGTAATCATGTTGTTTAAGAAGATAATGAGGCCTGTATTTTATTCTATATTTTTAGGTTTGTAATTTGCTTGTATGGGAAAAACACAGTTATATCACTTTTACACCACAGAAAAGCTTCACGAAATTGAGAACCTCAACACAGCCATTTTCACAATTTTATTTTTTCCATTTTAACATGATCATCCAAAATAGAGACTGAGAAAGAAAAAGAGAATTTGAGCTTTCTCACACATTCCCAGGGAACTCAGACGAGGGACGCCAAGACACAACCACGTCATTCTGCCGGAGAAAACAGTACACAGTCAGCCACATAAACCTTAGTGTGATGCACGGCCTTGATGGATGCTGTTCCCACACACACATTTCAAAACAACACAACTATTAATTTCTTACTTGAGGAGCTAGCATGATCAAGAGGTCAATAGCAAATAATTGTTGAAGCTGGTAGTGAACCATCATGGCGCTCCAGGGACCGTTGTCCACAGATTGTGTTCAGCATCATTGTCACTAACCGTCTTTGAGCACCAGGAGAAGCGCTATATAAACACCATGTGTTGTTATTATTACACGGCCCTAAACTGCACTGAACTGTTCAGCCGATGAAGCTAATTAATAAGTGACAGGGTGGATTAGGTGCTACATTTGGATGAAAGAGTTCTGACAAACACTTCACTTTTCAAATATGCAATTTGTGTTATTGCGCTATAAAAACCAAATGTGATGGTTTTAATGAATATTCTGATTTAAAAAAACCTTCTGATCAAAATGGTGACAGTCAATGGATGGAGATACCTGGCAGAATAACAAGCTGTTAATGATATCTGATCCTTAACCGGCTGCAAAATAAATTGATATACACATTTATGTATCACAAAATATAAAGCAGTGATATAATATATATTATTTACGGAGACCCTAAAGGGACATGAAATAAAAAAAATAAGAGAGAGAGAAAAAAAAAGGCAGGATAACGGGTTAGCGCACGAGAAACTAACCCGTTACCCCGACTTTTTTATTTTTTAGAAAGTTACCGGTGCGCCAAGGAGTAAGTGGAGCACACAGGAGACAACCATTTCATTGCAGACTGTTATGTTTACGTGGGGAAATGACAGTGCATACATTATTTGAGATATATTTCGAACTCAGACTTCATTTTAAGGACATTTCGGCCAGGGGTGTAGAGCTATTTGTTTAAGCACCGGATTGGCAAAACAGGAGAGTCTAAACCAGTCTGCTTTGATCTATGAATTAATGTCCGTGACTCTCAGAGTACCTGCTGCCCGCAGCTGTTTTATAGGGAAACAAACACTCAGAACACACACACACACACAGAGCGGAGCTGAGCAGAGCACAAACAGACTCACATCATGCACCCTGGTGACCGGACATCTCCTTCATAAAACTAATAAAAGGGGGAGTAATCGGGCAGTTCGATGTGTGTGTGTGTGTGTGTGTGTGTGTGTGTGTGTGTGTGTGTGTGTGTGTGTGTGTGTGTGTGTGTGTGTGTGTGTGTGTGTGTGTGTGTGTGTGTGTGTGTGTGTGTGTGTGTGGTTAAAATGTAGCAGCCTGCGTAAAAGCTCTTTGCGCGCTGGTGCTGCTCTTCTCGAGTTACACGTCCCGCTGCCTGTATGTATTCACTGTCATTTCCCCACGTAAACATAACAGTCTGCAATGAAATGGTTGTCTCCTGTCCTGTGTGCTCCACTTCCTCCTTGGCGCACAGGTAACTTTCTCAACAAAAAAAAAAGTTGGGATAACGGGTTACTTTCTCGTGCAAAATAAAAGTCGGGATAACGGGTTAGTTTCTCGTGCAAAACAAAAGTCGGGATAACGGGTTAGTTTCTCGTGCGCACGAGAAAGTATCTCGAGCGCACAAGAAACTAACCCGTTATCCCGACTTTTGTTTTTCTCTCTCTCTCTTTTTTTCCCCCCCCCCATGTCCCTTTAGGGGCTCCGTAATTATTCTAATACTTTTGTACTTTTACTTGTATCATTTTGAATGCAGGATGTTTACGTACGAAATAGTTTTCTGTACTGCTGAATTATTACTTTTACTTAAGTATAACTTCTGAGTATGTCTTTCAAAACTGCTCTCTCTACATCACTGTGTATTCAGTGTCCTAAGTTTTACTTAGTAGGTTGGTCCATTTGTGCATTCTTGCTTATTCTGTGTAGTGTGTACTCTTTAGATAGGCTACTCTATAGATATTCATCTTTCTGTTGATATCTATACATTTACTGTTAATGTTTATTTTTATTTTTAATTGATGAGCAATGTCTAGTTGCTAATGTTGCTGTAACAAATAACTTAAAATCTAACCTAAACCACTATGACATCTAAAAACACTTTGTTTCATCAAGTGCCAAACATTAAATTATCTATCCATCGCTTGTCTGAGCTATTCTGTCCAGCATCATTTGAACATGAATTACTCTAATTACTTTAATAGTAAAGTAAAAGCAAAAGCATAAATTCTACATTGTAAAACACCTGTTACAAACAAAAGCTCTGCTTTCAAAATGTAACTTGAGTAAAAGTACAAAAGTATTACAAAATATATACTTAAAGTACCAAAGTATCATTATGTAGTAATAACCCATTTCACAATCCTATATTATATAATAATTATTGATGCATTAATGTGTCATTCACTTCAATCTTGCAGCTGATAAATGTGGGGTTTATTTTAACTAAATGATATACTGCTGGTTAGCTTAACCTATAATGTTATACCACAATGTATTAGTTGTTTTATATATTTTATAACCAACATAGTTTTTCAAAGTTGTAAGTTACTTATGCAGTCAAAAGTTTGCCTTACAAAGTGTGTGGGGTCAAAATGTAAGGTAGCATAATGTGAACATATTCACAAGTACCTCCATGTTTTACTTAAGTCTAGAATAAATGTACTTCGTTACTTTCCAGCATTGGTTAGAACAAACAACAACACGGGTTAAAGGATGGAATAGTGAACAGTAAAGCCTCACATTTATGAAATAGAGCTGTCCTGTCTGTAAGCTAACGTTAGGTCTACCTCGGTGAGCAAGGCCACATCCAGTGACATGTATCACTGAAGCTAACGTCATTGTTCTGTATGTTAAAACACTATCTGAGAACAGCATGTATCAGGGCCATGTCCATTAATGTCGTACAAAATCATATCATACAATAAAAACGTAATGTTTACCGATTTTTTGCAGACTTTCCACCCGGACTCATCCGTCTTGTAGCCCATCAGACAATCCCCCACTGCCTTCGCTTTATGTTCATAATCCATAATAGATAGTAAAAGTGACCTTTCTCAGACCAGCTGACGTTATTGTCGCTTACTGTTCGACACACAATACCGTTTTCTTTCAATTCAACAGAAAATCTGAGTCACACTGTAGCTGGGTCAGTCACGCAAATGCAGCGGTGGCAAGTTACTTAACATTAGGATGTGGAGCCGCCACTACAAAGCTAGCGTTAGCCAAAATGAATGAAAGGTGCTAAGCGATGCCCGCATCGTTTACTAAAAAATAGCTAGCTCCCGGCTGTGAGGAATGTGACAACTCTGGGACTGTTCTCTACAACACCTCTGTGGCCGCGCAGCAGCCCACACCTGCCTCTGGAACAAAAATAAAATCCGGAAAATGATTGAATGGAATTCCTGAAATACAAGGAAATCTCCTAGCGATGTGTCACATCATCCAGTAGCAATAACTTCCGGTTTTAGCTTTCAAAATAAAAAAGCATTTCACGAAATGAAGTGTTTATGAACATGTTACTAAACCTTTTAATATATTGTGAATAACATACAGTGCTTTATTCAATTATATTACGTGTAGTTTGTAAAAAGCAACATATTTTAGTAACTAACTTGTTCCAGGTATCTTATCTTGAAGGCAGAGCCGCGTCCCGACTCTTTCTTGCAGTCTGATTGACTTCCGGTCTCCTCATACATCGATCACCAGCACCAGAGGCACCTGCAGCTGGAATTCTCGCAAAGCAAGCTGGGAAATGTAGTGGTCTGTCATGTCATTCTACAAATGGGGAAATCCCCACTACGACACGATCCATTTGAGAGGAATAACAATTGTATTTTATTGTAAGATTTACGATTCAAGATTCAAAGGCTTTATTGTCATATACACAGTAGCTGCAGTGTAGTTATTATGGCAATGAAAAAGTCCCAGGCTCCTCCAATAATGACATATAACAATAAAACAAAACAATAAAGATAGTGCAAGAAGAGACAGAGTAGAAATAAAATAGTGCACGAGTATGTTGCAAAACCAATGTGTAAGTAATGCAGATGAATTATATGATATACAATATAATAAGCTGAATGTTGCAGAGAATGTTGTTAGTGAATGCAAGAGTCTATACATGTAAAATAGAGATAAACAAAAACAGAAAGTACAATTGAATAATGTACAGTAAAATCAAAAACTGTTTATTATAATAATAATAAATAAATTGAGAGATTCAAACAGAAGATAAAGCAAGTGTTATCGTGTAAGCTGTATTTCTGTTCATGTTACACAAATAACTTCAGTGTGTTTTGATTGTTACACATTGCTAAAATAACCAATTCAAAATACAAGACCACACACATAAAATAAACAAATTACATTTATAATATACTCTCTGTGCTCTCAATAAAATGTATTAATCCCTAGTAGGGTATTTCTCTAAGATATTTTGAGAAACATTTTTACACATAAATATTAGCAAATCTGTCATACATTGGAATAGACCAGGTCCTTTGACTCAGTGACATTCAGATCAAAGCTGGTTTTGGACTTCTTTTTGGCCTGCTTTCCCTGCCTGGCCTCTGACTTGAGATAGTGGTCCTTGTTGTGGATGACCTGGATGTACTGGTCAGTGCTGCTGTTCTGCTGGTCGCTGCTGGAGGCCAGCGAGGCCGAGTCCGACTCGGTCAGAGGGGGCTCCAGCTTCGGTCTGGTCTTGGGTTTCACATGAGACTCCATGGGCCTGCTCCTGACCGGGGAGGGACAGGGTCTTCCTGGGGAGTGGATGTGACGCCTGTTTCGCACCAGAACAGAGTCTGCTCCTCTCACACTGCTCTGAGACCGGGAGTGTGGCTCTAAATCTCCCCAGTCTATTTCTTCCTCACCATCCTCCTCTTCATCCTCTTCATGCACTCCATATCTTCCTCGGCTGTCTTTAGACCCGTGTCTCTCCCCGCGGTCCCCGATGTAGAAGTGTGCAGGCTGGTGCAGGTCAGAGAGGGATCTGGGCCGATGAGCCTTCCCCAACGATATCCTTCTTTTTCCTTTCCCATCCTCCTCCTCTTCCTCCTCTTCACTGAGATGCTGCTGTGATGGGTGTGAGCGGTGAGGGTGTGGTTGGTGGTGAGCGCTGCGGGGGGCGTAGCGTTTGATGTTGCGCGGGTAAAGCTCCAGGATCTCTGCGGGCTCCTCCATGAGGAAGTGGCGAGGGATCCGTGTGGCCGAGCGCAGCAGCTTCTTCCTGGGGTCGTGTTCGTTGACGATCACGTAGCGGGTGGTGTGGCCGCGCCGCCCCCCATAACTCTGAGCTGAGATGATGCCTGCCGCCTCCATCGGATGTATGGAGCGGAGGGTCTTCCTGTACAGGGGGTCAGATTGGATGTGGTCAGAATAGCGAGCTGGGGGACTGCAGGCCATGTGGTGGTAGGACTTGGACCTGCAGGAACCACTAGGACCACCAAGAAAGGGTGGGGGCCTGTTATGAGAAAGGAAAAGAGATAATGGTGAGCTTATATGACTATCATTAGGTTATATTATTGTTGGAATCTTATTGTTGCATAAAGCTTTAGAAAAGCATGGATTATTTGAAATGTTTGCATTGCATGGCCGTATAATAATCTCTTAGTGTCAACCAACAGCATCTTGACTAACATTAGAAGCTACTTCGACGAGCGACGAGCAGTGATGTAATGTTATTGGTACACAATGCTGTTAAACATGCACAATAGTGGTATGTTCCTTTAAAGCCAATATTCAGCAGGTTTAAAAACAACCTTTTTCATGCCAAAAACATTCCCATAACTTACTAGTATTCAGTGCACCTCACAGAATATTATTCTACAAAATGAAAAGAAACTGAAGACAGCATTTACAATACCCAGGTTAATATCAAACAAGTACTAACTAGGGCTGAACAATAAATAGATTTAAACAAAAATGTTTGCAATTGCAATTTCAAATCAATGGAATAACAATGGTAAAACCTGGATTTACCTTATTAACAAGCTTAACAAGCGAAAGTTTAAGCTACAACTATCTAATGTAATACTTTGAAGCTCATTTTCATTAAAGCTGTTTTTAATCACAATATACATTTGGATAAACTTGGTTTACTACGAAATTAACACTTACTTTTTATGTTAGCAGCTAGCCTAATATAATCACGTTTCAAAGTTAGTCTTCCTAAACAGACTCCACCAGGAACATGTATCGTAAAGGGGAGCACAATAAAAGAGCTGTAGACTCTTTACTGTACTCATTACAAAAGAAGGTCACTTCTGAGATCAGTGTCATTTAAAACTTTCCCATTGGCTACATCTTCACTATTGATTCTACGATAAATCCATATCACTTAAAATGTTCTCCTTCAAATAAGAGCTGGCATGAGGTCTTAGGGTCGCCCTGATTGGCTGAACTGCTGTGTGTCAGACCTGCTGGGGGTGTGCTCCGGCGGTCTGTGTTTGGGCAGGATGGTGACTGCTGGACTCCGGACGGACCCCGCCACACCCCCTCTGCTCAGCTCCGCCCGGGACGCTGACTGGGTGATGGTGCGGATGCTGTTACCACGGTGAACAGGAGAGTTAAAGTCTGTGATGCTGCCGTTCCGCCGGGGTGATGGAGTGTGGATGGAGACCTCCTGGCTGGTGACGTCGCTCTCCTGCTGATCCGGCTTCTTGTCGGCCTCTGGAGCCTGCAGTCTCGCTGAGGTGGGTTAAAGAGTGAAGGTCAAAACACTACAAGAAATACCAGAACACACACAGATCTCAAAAACACCAGAGATACCTGCAGCCAACTGGAAGACCTTCTTCTTGTCCTCGGTCCGTTCCTAAAGAGATTAAAGGAAATATTCACCTTAATCATATTTCTTATAAAACAAATAATATATTATTGGTATTGGTATAACATTTTGAAGGACAAAATTAAATGGATCCATCAAAAATATATATGCGTATATTTGGTCAGTATGTAACAAATATATATATCTAGCTCTAAAATGTACATCTGTCAACATGACTGTCGTACTTATTTGGACCATGGGGGTATACTACGAATCAAGATTTTCGTTTAGCAAGCTAACTTCAGGGGTTTCAGGTCCTACGAAGCTGGTTCACTTTTTAGCAGGCTAGATAACTTATTCTGAACGGCTAGCCTCCGGAGCAGGATAGGTTCCAGGATAAAAGCACTGCCTGCTGACCAATCAGAGCTCAGTGTGCGGAGTTTAAAGCGATCAATTCATATGACAGGAGGAGAAAGGAAATACAGTTTAAACTGCCGTTGCAGGAAAGACGGCCGGTCAAAATCACCGGCTGTGTGAGCGTGAAAATGAATAGAATATCCCCTCCCATCTTCAGAGCAATCTGGCTATTATAACATTAGCGTTAAGAAAGCTTACTTAAATATCTGCCACAACATAAGTAACCAGATCAAAGTAACATTACGTAGCCTAGTCCGCGGCACTGTGAGTGCAGACGGCGATGTGTCCCATTATCATTCATATCACATCATAATGGATCATATATTTCCTTATCTGAGTCAGCTTCTTGAGCCGTATCTGGCCGTGTAACACTCACAGTGTCACATACTGTATGCAGAAGTATTATTTTAAGCAACACATTAAGTTGACGAAACACTCGAGTCAAATGTAATTAAAGTCAGATCCACTCGTGTCTTAGCAGCAGTGATATCATAAAACTGTTAATGAACGTATTCAAACACTTTTTCTTTTACCAGCAGTATTCACCTTGCAGCTGCAACTATGTGGCTTTTATCCTGGATAAAGTGTTTAAGTCATGGATGTTTAAAGTTTAACGTCTTCATATTTGTCTAATATTAGTTGACTTTTCATTCAGGAAATATATGACGCGCTGCGCTGTCAGTACGCTTGTCCGTGTTTGTGATTGGTCGAATGCTCCAAATACCACCCCTTTTATGTGAACGCGCACCTAACTAGATAGGACACGGCTGGCTTGAGCGATCGAGTTGATAGCCAGCGTCGTAGGACCGTTTAGCGAGAGCGTTTTCTTTTTGGATTTAGTCAACCGGATAACTCAAAACATATCCAGGATATGTTGAACTAGATTCGTAGTATACTCCCCATGTCTTTCCCTAAACCTAGTTTTAGGGTTTCTTGGAAAAGTCTGTACACTATGTATGCAATGAGCATAAACAGACACCTTGTCGTAAAACACGAGGAACAACTGAGGAACAACATTTCCTGAGATTTCATACGAACTGTTGTATAAGGCCACGTGTGCTATGATTGAGAGGGTCGGAACGTGTTCTAATATCATAAAAGTCTTCTGTCCACACGGAATCGGCTCAATAAACGTGTCCCTTCACACGAGACCGCTCGACCCGCTGGAGACGCTGTAGTACATATGCCGGGCCTGTAAGTGGCGCTGTACTTCCGCCACAAAATACACCAAAAGCAGCGAATAAGACCCCCGAGCATGGTTACCATGGTTGCCTGGTTGCCCTTCTGGTTATTCTCCGCGGTGGATACATTTTAGCAACATGTAGTTCATGTAGTTCTCCATGTCCACTTGTTGCTGATGGTTGTGGTAGAGGAGCTGTAGATGTTGCACTAACATCTGTAACATGGTCAGTAGCGTCTGGAGCACGAACGCAACCCTGTGATCCGCCATTGTTGTTGTTGTTGGCGAAACGCATCAGCAATGACGCAGGTGACACAGGGGTGAGCAGGAGAGGTGGGGAGAGGCGGGGCTATGATCGCTTAGGGCGTACACACGGTGCCGCAAGCGCTACGTTACCAGACCTTCCCACTTTGGGATGCGTTATCGTTTGAGGGCTCTGTTTCCGTGGTTCCTCGTGTGGACAAACCGTCCATACGATAAAGAACTATAGCGGATAACACCCGTTTTGTCTCCGTGTGGACGAGGCCTCAGTGTGAGAATGAAACTCAGGAACTCACCGTCTGCAGCTGCATCCTCAGCTGGTTGTTGGTGAATTTGAGGGATCTGGCTATGGCCTGGAGATAATATATCAGCATGCTGAAACACAGAGGGACAAACGTCAAACAAGGAATCTTAATATGTAGTGTCGTGTGTGTGTGTGTGTGTGTGTGTGTGTGTGTGTGTGTGTGTGTGTGTGTGTGTGTGTGCGTGCGTGCGTGCGTGCGTGCGTGCGTGCGTGCGTGTGTGTGTGTGTGTGTGTGTGTGTGAGAGTGTGTGTGTGTGTAGTTAAAATGTAGCAGCCTGCGGTCACTCTTTAGCTGTTTGAATGAAGGTAAACACAGTGTAGGCGGTGCGTAAAAAGCTCTTTGCGCGCTGGTGCTGCTCTTCTCGAGTTACACGTCCCGCTGCCTGTATGTATTCACTGTCATTTCCCCACGTAAACATAACAGTCTGCAATTAAATGGTTGTCTCCTCTTGTTGTGTGTGTGTGTGTGTGTGTGTGTGTGTGTGTGTGTGTGTGTGTGTGTGTGTGTGTGTATGTGTGTGTGTCTTACAACAGCAGCAGCAGTGCAGGCAGCACTACAACAGGGCTGGTGACGTAACTCATCACTTTACTGAACCACAGCGGGAAGTCATTGGCCACCGTCTCAGAGATTATGTCATAAATCTTCTCTTGACCACTGAAACACATTTAGGACTTTAAATTAGTCAACAATTACAAACAATATAAACACATCCACACCTAAAGGTGGAGGAAAGAGCTCCTTCATCATATATGGTGACAATTATGGGACAAACAGAGGGATGGGCAACTTGGATGGTGGTGGGGGCCACATAATTGATGTACTGGCCACCAGGGGGCCGCAGATTCCCTTGGAACACACACACACACACACACACACACACACACACACACACACATACATTCCATGTATTGTATGTAATTATTAACAAATATACTAAGTCTGACATCTTCATTGACATTTTACAATCTTTCAGGGAACATCCTCTAAATCACTAAACAAATATCAGTTCACAGAAATGTTATTTAATGTTTACAAGTGGCATGTTTGTATTGAACAGGTTATTTAACAGTGGAATACAACTATTTAAAACTATTGGAAAGCACGGGAAATGCGTGTGCATTGAGATTAACCATTAAGATGACATAAACATGAAGTCATGAACACTACCCAGACGTTAGTTGTCTAACTTGAACCTAAGACAAGCCTGTCTCTGCTGACGCACAATAAGGGGAGTGTCAACACAGGCACCTGTCAACTCTCTGCTGTTCCTCAGTGCCGCTCCCCCTCCCTCCCACTGAAATTATGAATGAAAGGCATCTAGTAATCATAGACATAGCCGTGGGAACATGTTTCAAATGGGGGGTGCTGTGGGGATGACACCAATTTGCTGCCCTAGGCAAGATTTTTGCTGGCGCCCCCCACCCCAGCATGAAAATCGTACAGTAGAAAAGATAAAGATCAATAGAGTATCCAAGGAATACACAATAGAATATATAAAGAATACACTACAAAAACAGAAACTTATTGACATTGTATACATAAAAAAGGCTTCAAATGTATTTAGTATTGTATGAACATGTTTTAATTGGGGTGTGGACGTCACATCCAGGGGTTCCCAAAGTGGGGGTCGCGAGATGATTACAAATTAAAAATGGAAAATTTAAAAATTATAATAAAAATGTTAATTTAATTTGTAATCAATTTTTATGTTATTATTATTAATAATAACATGTGCATAGACATTTTTCAGGGGCAGACTGGCCATCTGTAGAATTTCCCTGCAGCAAGGCTTCGCCCGTTGACAATCCACTAGCGCACCCCCCCCAGTAAAATGCTTCACCTGATCTAGGGGGTACAACTTTAAACACCCATATGAAAAAGATCGGTTTACATTTTACATCAAATAAGTATGTGAACATAACCAATAACCTACCATAGCCAATAACAAATAAATGTAACTTGTTTTATTTGTGCTAGTGAATAAATAAATAAATTAAAGTTTTCCGCACTCTCGCGGGAATATCTCCGCAATGGAGCAAGCTGAATGTTTGCCACTTGTTTGTACCATTTTCTGGCGATTTGTAATCTGTTCTAGAAAAACGATGTGTTTTTTAGGATTTCAAGAAGCATATAGAACAAACAATGGATGTATTTTATGAACATTTATCCATGCTGAAAGTAGATTTAGATGTTTTAGGAGTGAGATAGAGATTATTATCTAATATATGCATCCAATGAAGCATTGCATGAAGTCTGTTGATGATCAGAGGCTGCTGTTGGGGCTGCATAAACGTTTTTTAATTTTTGTTTTGTAGGCAGACCATGCAGGCCAGCCCGATGGTCACCAAAGTTCATTTTTTAATAGCATTTGTACAAAAAAAAGCCCAGGCGAGCCTAACATGTGAAAAAATGTGTTAGGCCTCAGAGAGTTAAACTTGAGCCTGCGACCAGTCTTACTGTATTTTGTTTTGAAAATCCACAGCGGAGGTTTGTGTCGTACTTCATGCGGTGTGTTTGCATTTCTCTCAGTAGCCAACGATCTGTGAGTCTGTTGGCTCGGACATAAACTCCATAATACATGTAGTCTACATTTCATAAGAGGTGTAAAACCTGTGAGCATTTGAACTAAATTTGTTTGTATTGTTGATTTATTGTGTGAACGAGGTGATATAGAGAAGGTTAAGCTGTCATTATTAGGCTGTAATTTGTTATATACTGTTGGAGTGGTAAGCAGGCCTATTGTTTTTGGATATTTGTGGAGTTAGGTGGTCCGTGAGTGTTTTTTTATTGGTTAAGTGGTCCTTGGTATGAAAAAGTTTGAGAAACACTGCGCTACTGGATTATCAACGGGGGGAGCCTCGCTGCGGGGAAATTATACAGATGGCCAGTCCGTCCCTGAAAAATGTCTATGCACACGTTATTATTAATAATAATAAAAAAAATAAGAAAATGTATATATATTTTTTTTGAATTTTGAATTTGTATTTTGTAATCATCTCGCGACCCCCACTTTGTTAACCCCTGCCCTATGCGACTGCCTATGTCGCCTATGCCCAAAAACTTTTTTTTGTATTATATTTGTATTTAATCTTGTGGAGGTGCAGATCCCCTGTCCTCCATCAGGGGGTGCTGCAGCACCCTCAGCACCCCTACTTCCCACGGCTCCGATCATAGATAACACGGAACAGTGTGTAACCGTTCCGAACCGTGACAGTTTGTTTACATCTGATTTCAAATAAACAAAGTCTTGGCTTTTTGGAATATTAAACTCGTTTCGCCAAATTCAGATGATAAATACAACTTTGAAGCTTGTAAAGGCATAATTACAAGCGGAGAACGGAGTAACTTAACGCCACAGCAGGCATAACAACAGCCGATGTTTCTTGTGAGTGTTTCCCCAGGAAACAAACTCAATACACACAAACGCGTCACAGATTATTTTTGCGGTATTTGACTGCCCAACAAAATCATGTACGCAGCTCGCGACGTAACTAGGAGTCTATTGGACGGTATCAGTACTACAAGTACAAAAAACGCCATTTGCCCATCCCTGAGCTAGACCATTCACCTTATGTAGCCCTTTCCCTTCCCTTCTTCCGGTTCAAAGCTAGCCAACAGTCGCTAGCTAACATTAACTACCTACCTACCTTGTTAGCAAGCTTACCTTAGCTACCCTATATATGAAGCTAGCTAGCACATTTGAGCTATCTAACTAGCTAGATGTGTGGCTCTAGTAATTTAAATCGGAATTATTTTTAAACCCCCTATGGTAAGACAGTTAGGCAGTGTGGACCTGTGTCTACGTTCAGGCAGTGAGAGTAATTGTAAAAAACATTGTTGACGTGTTTTTTTTTTTAAGCAGACCGCCTGCTCATACAGCAGCAGCTCCTCACAGCTTCAAACATCATTGTAAATTCTCAAATATACCGTTTTTGGATAAGGTAATCACATATTGGTGATCGAAAATGTAGTTTCACTCCTGAAAAACTGTTTTAACTTTAGTAATAACAGTTAGTTCAAAATCTTGAAAACTGCATAATTGGCAAGTAAGGGTTGATAAAGCTGGCGACACATTTGGGATACATTACGTTTAATAAACAGATTAACAATAAGAGGGGACATCTTTGAGCCATTAAGTCAATACCAAATATGGAAATAAAGACTATGGGAAATACAAATCAACAAGATAACTGTTTTTTAAACTTAAGTAGCAGTATATTACACATTCCATAATGTCAATTTCCTGCTACACATACAGACATTTGGCAAAGTTTCTTTATTATAAAACTATTTTTACCTGAATGGTCCGCAGTGCTGGGACGGTCTGTACCTCACTATGGCAAAGATGGTGGGCAGCATACACAGAAACAGCATGAACAGCAGCATGGCCACGTAGAAATTGTTTGATCTAAAAACAGCCAGACGACATGGATTAATAAAAAAAAAGGTTCACATTACTGCATTGTATTCATCAGCCCAATAGGGCGACTATAGTGTTCTTTAACAACATATGTATTGGGCCCAGCTAAAATTATAATCTTTCTTTATGTGGCTTTTTAACCACTGCAAGTAAAAGAGCATCGTGTTAAAAATGTTGGACATGGAAAAGCAGAATTTAGGGAATTACATTAAAGAGTACAATTGTAATCTTCTGAGGTGTGGTACAGCTAACAGGTTTCCCTGGAACAGACGTTATCAACCATTATTGCAGCTAAATATTCTTCTACAGAATGCTCAGGCCCACATTAGCTCCACTCCACTGGTGCTGCCTTTAACAGCAGTGATCGCATCATCTGCTGACTGCACATCATGGGAGCAGAAATGTGCAGAGACTCTACAGTAGACTGGCCATTAACACTGAACTAGGATTGCATAATTATTCTTATTTATTTTAATAAATATCAATATCTCAGATTTTATATCCTGACATCTCAGCGATGGTGCGAACACCCATAGTTAAAGTCCTATGTTTGGAACACAAGATTGTACTTATTAATATTTGTAACCCACAAATGGATCAAATGTGCTATGTAAAAGGTTTGTCAAGAATCCATACAGATGCATCATCATTATCATGGTTTCACTTTGGAAGGAGCCAGGATATCTGTTCCCCTCCACTATTTTTGCTACGCTAGGCTAACTACATCCTGATTCCACCTCTGTTTTTAACACACACATGTTTTGGGAAACCCATGTTAATGTCTGAAATGTTCTGAATTTAATTTCCATTTTTTAAAGCCAGTTCTCAAACAGTTGAATACGGGGATTGTGAATGCTGTTATGAGAGACCATGTTTAGCCTTTAATGCTACATTAGCAACTGTGAGGTCAAACAATCCACCCTTTGTAGCTGCTACATTTTTAGTCCATGGACAGTAGAATAATTGAATGATGCTAAAACATTCGATGTTAACCACAACAAAAATATCGACAGTGCACATGCAGTGCTTTTTAACACCTCATAATTCTGAGTAGGGGGCGTACAAAAGCCTTCTTCACTATCAGCAACGTGTCAGCATCAATCTCTCCCTACCTCAGCACAACTGCATCTAATAGTGATTACATGTTCTCTCAGCTGTGTGAGTGTGTGTGTGTGTGTGTGTGTGTGTGTGTGTGTGTGTGTGTGTGTGTGTGTGTGTGTGTGTGTGAGGATTTCCCTCACATCTGGGAGTGACTGATAAGCACTGAAAGAGGCAATGACAGCCTCGTTACATAAATCAGAGTGGGCTGAGCCCTCAGGCCTGTGTGCACTGTATGTGTGTATGTTTATATGTATTTATATATATATATATATATATGTGTATGTATATGACTCATATGATGCACTGAAGGACTACCTATTGATTTGTCATCATAAGGCAGAGCTGTTATATTAATAGGGATAAGAAGGAAAAGCTGTAAAGTTATTGGTGGTTGTATAGTCAGAGAAGTGAGCTGATGCAGTTCATCTCTATCAAGGAGAGGCTCACGTGACAGGGGTGGAGTGTGTGATGTCACAGGCATAGAGTCATATGCTCCCACAACTAAAATGCTATGGTATTTTTCCATTGGGTTTGGAATATTGCAGAAAATAAGATCTGTAGCAAACACACGTTTATGATAACCTCAATATATTAACACCACTTTGTGATTTTTGAAAGGTAATTGCAATGTCCAGAACTAAAAAGCTAACATAATAAACTGCATTACAGTCGCATGGCTACTCATCACGAATGCTAAGCTAAAGGATGCTAATGCTTGGTGGGATGAATTTAAGAAGTCTAATTTTGTCACTTCCTAGCAACTGCTGTTTTTATGATACAAAGAAGCTTTGGACACACATATTTAATGTCAGAGAATTGTAAAAAACGTTCTTAAGCCTGGATTAACCACATAACTTATTTTAGGCTTACCACAAACAAAAACAAACAAAACAACTGTTGACTTCAAGACGAGGGAACTGCAAATGCTAATATGCTATGTCATTTCTGGGTTTTAGGACCACTCTATACATGTATTACAGCTGTGTGTGTGTGTGTGTGTGTGTGTGTGTGTGTGTGTGTGTGTGTGTGTGTGTGTGTGTGTGTGTGTGTGTGTGTGTGCGTGTGCGTGCGTGCGTGTGTGTGACCTGGAGGCTCGGAACACCTGCTGGTGGGGGACATTGCAGGTGAGCACGGCCCAGCTCCTCAGATACATCAGACCAATCAGCTTCAACACGTTAAAGGCAGGGAGACAGGGGGAGAAAAATGCTCCCATCCTGGAGGAGAGAGAGGTTAGTCAGTCACACACACACACACACACACACACACACACACACACACACACACACACACACACACACACACACACACACACACACACACACACACACACACACACACACACACACACACACACACACACACACACACACACTGGGGTCACACTTCATATAAAAATACATTACAGCCAGTGGCTCGAGGTTTCACTTCATTAAGTTCATTGCTTCAAGGTGACAATTGTGAAATGAGTTGAGGAAATACAGCGGGCAGGCCACAGAGGTGTAATGGAGACATTAGAGAGGACCACAGTCCTATAAACAGGGTCCTGGAGGCTGGTCAGCAATGGCCACACTATTAACTCTGAATCAGATCTTCTATTAAACACACAGTGGCAAGGACATGGTGATATAGTGGAATGTGTTCTCAATATTTCATTGTTTTCATTCTGGCATTTCACACTTACCAGATCATCCCTTGGTTATAAATCAGATGCAAAACATTCTCTGCTATTTTGAACTCTCCATATTCAGGCTGAGGAAAGAGAGAGAAAGCATGTGAACCCTCTCAGCCTCATTAGGTGCTCACTGTTCTCAGACAGCAAACAAAAACATGGAGAAGCACTTCCTGTGCACCACAGAGCAGGAACCCCACCCCCCACCCCCCCTACACAGGGTATTACACTCGCACCTACTTGTAAGTAGAGTAGATGTCTTTTGAGGTTGAGATATCCTACCCAAGGTAGAACAAAACACCGTTTTTTCATCATTTTAATATGTGTAGCTTTTGAAATGAAAGGTTGTATAAATATTTTACTGCAAAATAATTTTTTGGATCCTTCCTATAACCAAAGATAGTGAAAATGTGGTAGCCTATATTCCAGATGGGATTGTGGCTGTTTTTATTAAAAGATTACTAAAGATCTTTGAATAAGAACTGGTACTTTTGGCTGCACTGGTTAGCTGTTAGCGGCTGGACAGCAGAGGGTGAGGTGAGGACTCAAATAACCCAATTTTACATTACATAGCATTTAGCTGACGCATTAATCCAAAGTCATCAAAAGTTCTGCCAACACAGACAGTTGGGCAGCTTTAAAATCCTGAATGTCACCAAGTGCTTATGCCGCACTTTTATTAATAATGCACATGTTTCCTCAAGTTGGTGAATGTTTTCTAAATGCTGCATGTTTCATCACATTGCTGAAGATGTTTCTGCATATGTTTTGGCACATTTGTGTTTATTTATTTGCATAATTTCTTTGGAAATGTTTGGACTGTTGTAGCGCGTTTGCACCAGTCGGCCACAGTAGATTTGTCTCTCAGTAAACATCTAGTCCAAATTTGGTGACATTCTGATCAACTTACAAAGAGATCTATGTTATGGCAGACACGATTCCCTTTGGAAAATATCACATTTTCACTATAATCGGTTATGGGAAGGTTCCAAACATCAACCAAAATACATCATTTTGGCCGTAAACATTTTTTCGACAACCTTCCATTTAAAAAACTAGACATTAAAGTAATGAAAAAACATGGTTGTGCTTTGTTCTACCTTGTGTAGGGGTACCTCAAAAGCCTTTTTTGGGGGGGTTTGTTCCTCTACTATATACGACCTTTGGGTCCTGGTTTAAAAATGTGTTTTTAGCACTCCTTTTTAATAAAGCTCAAAAACTCCTCATAAGAAATCTGGCTATTTATGTCTCTGTTCTTAACATTTGTTCTCTAAACTGTTTTAGAATCAGTTTTGCTGGATGTTGTAAGAAATGTGTATCATCATGTTGAGCTTTGTGCTGGACTATTTCTTTGTCGAGGGGTGCTTGGAAATTGCTCAAAGCATTTTATAGTAAAAAAAACTCAACTTGTGAACAACTTACAAACTTGCTCTCTAAATCCCAGCAGCAGCAGTCACTGAGGTAGCGGACCACCAGACCTCTGATGAAGTCAATGAGCAGGATGCTGGCCACCGTGAAGATCATGTCGATGATGGACAGCTTCAGCATCTCCTGAAAACACATGAACGTTAGGTAAATATACAAACATATGCAGTTCCTTTAATTATCCAGCACTCAGACCTGTTCATTGTTTGAAGGTACATAGAGAGCAATAATGTGGGTCATGGGTCAGGGCCGGCCCTGACCAATTTGCTGCCCTAGGCAAGATTTTAGCTTTTTTGTACTGTCATATAGTATTTTATACTATAAGAGAATAGAAGAAAATCTATTCTCTTATTTTTTTATAACTATAATGATCATATAAAGGTGTGCCTTTACCTCACTGAGCTGAGGTTATCAGAGCCTCTCACCCTTTCAGGAGAGAGCTCTCTAAAGCTCTCCCCCTGCGGCCGCTTACACAGTAAATTCCAATGTTAATAAAAGCACACAGAAGCTGTATACGTTTTTTGGGAGTTTGATTTATTTTAAATTAACACAAATACAAAATTAAAACCTATAATTGCACACTAAAACCATTATTTCAAAAAAAGAACTATTTCACATAAACCTCTGGGTTTACTGGGGCTGGGGCAGTTCAACTTGATTTTGGGGGGTGGGTGCGCCATAGTTTATGGGCGCTGTACACAATATAGGCGTAGTTCTGTTAGTATAAGATAATAAGATGTACTTTGTTGATCCAAAATCGGGAAATTGTGTTGTTATGAAATAAAGACAAATATATATATTTATTTTTCAATTTTCGGCGCCCCCCATAGATTGATGCGCCCTTAGCATTCGCCTATACTGCCTATGCCAAGGGCCGGCCCTGTGTGGGATGTTTATCACGAGTAGACAGGGACAGCCTTCATACTGTCTTTATTTAGCAGGGTAGTTGGTTGTAAGAACGAGGACTTTGGTAGAGACTAAAAGTGTCTAAATATAAAATGGATGTATTGATATGACATTTTGGGAAACCCAAGTCCAATTTAGGATGACTTTGGTAGTTGTAATTCTCCTGGCATCTAGTGCCATCCTCTGGTCAAAAGTTCCCTCTGTGTGATAGTGATACTTAATGTTCTGACCCAGTGGGTAACATATTCCTATTTTAACATATGATAAGATCAGCTGTACCTGTTTACAGCTAGTAAGCAACAGGTTAAATGTTGTATACATTTACAGTATATTTTGTAGTAGTATTCTATATATCTAATTCTGAGCAATGTACTGCCCTTACATATTGTATATTCTATGTTTTAAAGCTATGATGACCATTAGTCAACATCATAAGTAAACACAACCCCAAACAGTAAATATAATAAACATGCTCAGAGTGGAGAACCTGTCCAACATAGGTCTCCCAGCAGGGGTCCTGCTGAGAGCGGATGTTCTTCTCAAACAGAGACGTCTGGTTGGAGATGACCCCTGAGCCGCTGGTGCTAGTGTTCCTAACATCCAGCACCGTGGCAATGGTTGCTATGGTTGCTATGGTGATGTTGCGATGTTCAGAGACGGAGATCTCAGAGACCAGGGTGGAGAGGCTGTTCCCCTCCGGCTGAGAGATGGTGGCCAGGAAGGAGCTGGACTCAGACCAGTTCCCTGGACTCAGCGGGATCTGGAAGACACATGGGGAATATTAGATTACATTCAACTTTATTGTCATTGCACAGAATATTAGTACTGAAGACAATGAATATAATAATAATAATAATATATAGAATATAATATATGGACAACTTCAATTTAGGCTGAAGTATATTTAGGCTGTTGTATTGCTACTTTTTCTTAAAGGTCCCCTATTATATTCTTTTTCATCAATATATTATAGTTCTCAGTTATATACAAAACATGTCTCTGAAGTGTTTGGCTCGAAATACAAACAGATCATTTTAGCATCCCATCAATTTGATTGCGTAGGTAAGTATACAGAGATTGGCCTACTGGCAGTATCAGATTATATCCTCTTGGATGTATATCTCATTCAACCAGCGTTTCCCAGGCTGCACCACGGGGAGGTTTCTGTAAGTTGCAGCCCCGGAAAAGCAGCAGGGATTGATGACATACTGGCAGAAATGATACAGCACCTGGGACCTAACGCAAAGACCTGGCTCCTGGAGATGCTGAACACATGTATGGCACAAAAAACCATCCCTCCTGTCTGGAGAAAGGCCAAAGTGGTTGCAATCCCCAAACCCGGCAAAGACCCATCATCCCCAAAGAGCTACCGACCCATTTCCCTCCTCTGCATCACTTACAAGCTCTACGAGAGGCTGCTACTCCAACGCCTCATGCCACTCATAGACACCAAGCTGACTAAAGACCAAGCTGGTTTCCGTCCTGGCCGCTCCTGTGCTGGACAGCTACTCAACCTCACCCAACACATTGAGGATGGGTTTGAAGGAAAACAAATAACTGGAGCAGCATTCATAGATCTTTCTGCTGCCTATGACACTGTCCAACACCGTACAATGGTCAGGAAACTACTGGACATGACTGGTGACCTGAATCTGTGTCAAGTCATCAAAAGCCTCCTCAACAACAGGCACTTCTACGTCGAGTTAAATGACCAGAGGAGCAAGTGGAAAGCCAAAGAACGGCCTCCCACAAGGTAGCGTACTGGCCCCCCTCCTGTTCAACATATACACAAACGACCAGCCATTACTCCCAGAATGCCAGCGTTTCATCCACGCAGATGACCTCTGCATCACCACCCAACAAGTAGACCTCCAGAAGATTGAGCCTGTCCTTGAAAGTGCCCTCCAAGAAATGTCAAGCTACTACAATAACAACCTCCTGAAACCCAACCCATCAAAAACCCAACTATGCAGCTTCCGAGACGCTAAAAAAGAACTGAGCGTCACCTGGGATGGCCACAAACTGTCCAACCACACGCATCCCATGTATCTTGGTGTTACACTGGATAGGACACTCTCCTTCAAGAAACACCTGGAGTTCTTGACTACGTGTTGCTATCCTATTGTGGCATAAGCCGTTTTCTACAGGCACATTTTACCGGCGTATTTTTCATTATGATTCTACTTGTGATAGTCGGACATGACAACCTGTGCAGCCCATGTATTGATTCCATCCGATAGCTGCTATAATACAAATCAAAACGTCTGCCTGCTCTCCACAATGATCAATAACAGAGGACGGATGGTCAAAGTAAGGTACAAATAAACAGAATCACACGAAGCCTGGTTAGTGTTGCCTGACTTTATAAAGTGTGTTTTTTTATAAGTGTGTGGTTGCGTTCTAGTCACTTTGCTCAGCGCTACTGCTTGTTACAACTTTTATTTGCCGTACTCGCCATAAACTGTTCAGGTTGATCCCGCCCCTGCCCCCGCCTCCGACGTAAGCGTGACGTATGCGGTTCTTGCTTCTAGACCGACAATTTTTTGGAGCTTGGTAAGAACCGGTTTTCGGGGAAAAGAGCCGGCTCCGCTGCGGTGTGAACAGGAAAAAACGGTGCTTATCAGGCTCTAGCTCCGAACCGGCCCTGGAACCGCGCTGGTGTGAAAGGGGCATCAGAGAGATATTTGGTTAAATATATTTTCTAGGAAGAGATTCAGGTGATAAGGTGGGGGGGGGGGGTTACCTTGGTTGGTGATTGGCTAATGGTTACACAACCCAAAACACATTAGGCGCGTTCACACCGGAGTACTTTTCCCACAATAGTTCATCAGAACTACGATATATTTGCGTTCACACCAAAAAGCCCCAGGAACTAAAGTAGTTCAAATGAGTTCATCTGACCCGCTTTTCAGTCCCTGCTAGAGAGCAGGGACTGTCGTGGGAGAAAATAGTTCATACGTCTGATTGGCTGTGCGGAATGCAAACGCCCCGTGAATCTCTAGAATCTTTTTTGAAGGCTGCCATTGTATTTGCTCGCATTAAGCTCAGCACAGCGCACCAACGAGTGGATTACTTTTGTGAAAGCAGTTATTATGGCAACACTAAATAAATCATCGGAGCGGTGGAGTGATGAGGATGTGTCGGCGCTTCTGGCGATTTACTCGGAGGACGCGAAGAGCCGCATTCAGAAGCTTCTACTGAATGCAGTTTCCGTGGTTCAGCAAAGTTAGCAGACCTGGCAAAGTCATGTCGGGACGAAGGTAAACTAAAATACATGCACTGCACTGTTTTAATCTGCACAATACTGGTCTCAGATGTACTTTTATTTGCTCAGTAGATCGAGCTAACCATGCTAGCACTGGCTAACATAGGTCCAAGCTGGCTAACAACATCTAGCTAGCTAGCTATTCTCAGCCGTGCCCGCTATGAACACGTTTTGACTTGTGAATAAGTGTGCAATGTTCTGTAATTGCTTCACTAACTCATGGCACTAATCGTGTGTTTCAGGCGAGGTGTTTCTCTCTGGATTGGAAACTAGTTCGCTTTTCCCTCCGGTATAAAACGATAATATAACGTTAGCAATTAGCATGCTAGCTGGACATAATGCTACCTCTAACAATACATTGTAGTTGCTATAATTTCATCATTTGCAACATTCATTCTACATGTTAATGGTAAAAGCTTAAACAGTTGATTACCTGCATGCCACAAAGACTGATGTTCTAATATTTTGCACATTTAAGCAAAAATGTAATTGAAATTCAATTTATTTTTCCTTTTTTTTATTGATTGTTATAATTGTACTCAGCCATGTTATGTTAGATGTCAATCCACTTACACTGTAACTGCTCTGGCCTTGAAAGAAGGCTACGCATCTAACTGATGTCCACTAATCCCTATAAAACAAAGTTCAAGCATACATTAAGCACAAAACAATAAATAAGGGCACTTTGATATTTATTTGATATTATTTGATCCTATCTTATCTTCTACTTTACACCTGCATTTTGTACACTGTCCCTGTCTGCACCATGTCCAATGTTGTCTCTGTTGACAACCTACTAGGCGATTAAACTGATCTTGTATCTTGCTTATTTCTCCTTAGGAAAGCGGGCACGGGGTGACAGCTTCCTTGACACCATCATGGCGATGGACCGCCGTGCCATGGTCAGCAAGGAGAATGAGGACCTGCGTGCCAAGGAGATGCACGACGAACGGCTGCTGCATTCACACAAGGCCCAGGAATCGAGGCCCACTGCTTCTGGCAGTGCTAAGCGAGCTGATTAAATCCAACAGGCCTTCAATAAAAAAATACTTGTCGTCGTTGATAAACCGTACAATGACTTGTTGGGAGGCGTGTGGTGCAGTGGTCTGGTGCGTTGGTGTTCGGATCAGGGGAGCACAGGTTCAAACCCCACTGCAGTCAGGATGTCGTTGTGTCCCTGGGCAAGACACTTCACCCCAAATTGCCTACACCTGGGACAGTTAATTTTGTATTATTGTGATTATATATATATGCCACTGTTATTAATACTGACACTTCACTTTGCACTAAGGTGTGTCTGCTGCTGAGCCTACCTATTGTTATTATATTGTTATTATATATATATATATGTTTTGATACTAATGACACTTTATTTGATATTGAAAATGTTAACTTCTATTTACATGCATACGACACACCTGGGACAGCGTGATGCTGTTATTGATATTGTCTTGAGTGTGCAATAAAAGAGAACCTACATGGCGATTAAACAGAGCCTGTATCTTACATTTTTCATTACATTTCATGTAACTAAGCTTGCTTATTTCTCCTCTGACACTTTATCTTTACAGTGACCTGTGTAGCATCCTATACATCACATGTAAGTGATTATTCTGATACCATCATGTTTCATCGGTTATAAACTGGCGAAGCTTTATTTATTGTGGCTTTCAAAAAGATAATTTCATTGTATTTCAAAATGGCGTCCAACACAAGCACTATTTATTTATAGAAAGAGAAATGGTTAAGTTTGTTATTACCAGTGTTGTGAGTTCAATATTTTTAATTAATTATAGTAAGGGAACATCTTAGGAGTTAGTGTAGTGAGTTTCAGAGCAGTGTAATAATTATTTGACCTAAAACTAAATGTTTTTATGAATGTCCTCTGAGGAGGACATGGGGATTTGCTAACTTTTTATTTCCCCCATTTTACACGACACAAATGGAGGCCACTATGGGCCAAAACTAACACGTAGGTTTCTGTAGGGTTCATGGCAGACGGATGCAGTTGCTCTCAGGAGGATATATAATAAAGGTGTGTTAGCTGCTGAGCCTATTTACTGTGCATACGACACACCTGGCACAGTTTATTCATTTCACACAGGTTACGCAATCCATAGCGCGTGCATGTTGTCGTCCAATCCTTTTGTCAATCCTTCTTAATCGCCTTCGCTTCCGAATCAGCATTGCTATTGCATTTGACTGGTCGACGATCTGTATTTGTGTTTGCTTAAATAACTCAGACGAAGCTCATGTCTGAGGTCGGAAGGTAAACAGACGCCTCATATACAGCAGGTGGGCGTGGCAGTATACGCGGGAGGTTCTTCTTCTTCTTCTCTCGGTTTTTTGGCGGATTGCAACTTTAAGGTGCATACCGCCACTTACTGTACTCGCCGTGAAGTTGTTTGCGGCCTGCCAGTAAACCCAAAGCAGAAGAAGAAGAAGTGACGTCAGCGGCTCATTTGCCTAATCCACCCCCAGGAACTCATTTCGGTGTGAACGCGATCTGCTTTAGTTCATCAGAACTAAAAGAGCTCTCATGAACTAAAGTTCTCATAAACTATTGTGGGAAAAGTACTTGGTGTGAACGCGCCTATTGTGACATCATAAAGTGGCCAAAATCACAGGTTTTAACATTACATTACATTACATCGCATTTAGCTGACGCTTTTATCCAAAGCGACTTACAATAAGTGCATTCGACCAAGAAGATACAAACTAGAAGAAAACAGAATCATATAAGTACATCAGGTTTCATAGAGCCAAAACATTTCAAGTGCTACTCATCTGGCTTTAGATAAGCCAGTCCTTTATTAGTATATGAGTGCTTAGTTAGTATATAAGTGTTTTGTTTTTTTATTGCTCCAAGTGGAGTCGAAAGAGATGAGTTTTCAGTCTGCGCCGGAAGATATTTATATAAATGGATCTGGACAAAAAGTGAGTGAATCTTTTTTCCTGAAACTTTCAGAATCTCTTTACACAGAGGAGACACATGTTTATGTATAAAAGACATGAAGAAGTGGATTTTGCATAATAGAGGACCTTTAAGGAATGACAAAGAGTCATTGTATTTATTCACCACTGCGCCTGAGAAAGGTATATTAAGTGATATGGGGCTATATAAATAACATTTGATTAGCTTAGCATAAAGGCCCCAGGGATGCAGCTGTTATTGTTGAATAACTTAAATCTGTTTGTGGAAACATGTTTAAAAGGATAAAAAAACGCTTTTATTTCTTCAGCTTCCATACTCACAGCAGAGCTCATACTGTTGACCTTATCAAGGAGGGCAATGATGAGGCTGTAGAGATTCCCCAGGTATAAAACTAGCACTCTGTGAACACAGAAACATATGACACATGTTGGTAGGACCTGTGATGCATTATACAGTGTGTGATAGTGATTAGTGCTGCATCAGGCAGATTGACGGAGTACCTGGCCAGCTGGAAGCGCAGCGAGGTTCGGGGGTGGTACATCTCCAGCTGAGCCACCAGCTCAAAGGCAGACGGAGCGATCATCGTGATGAGAGACACCACCACACTCACCTGGAGGGAGGGGGAGCATGAAGACACAGAGGCAGATCTCAACTGAAAAGTGATTATACAATATACAGATGATGCTATGCTCTGCCTCTCAGCAAAGATCTTCATTTATCAGGCTCAGTCCTCTCTTGGTGAGACAAAATATTTCATCTCAGCACTTAAACTGAATTGCAGTACCATCAAATGAACATTTAAACTCCCTGAGCAGACATTTTAATAAATTTAAATTGAGTGAAGATAGCATAATGTGTAGATAACAAATATGTCAGAATAAATTATGAGGATATGCTGTTTATTTATTTGTGTATGTCCTATTCTACCACTAAGTCATTTGTATTTCATTTCAAAATAAATATCTTTGAGGTATACAACTTTAAAGAAAGTACATTTAAATTATGAATAACTAGGAGATACATTTAGATATTTCATGTGTCCAGTAGGATGTTTGTACATATCTAAAGAAATTCACTCCATGTGTTCCTGATATAGGAGGACAGATGGACAGACATGATACAGCTGTCACTGACTCAGAGCTATAATAACACATGTTTAATATTGAAATATTCAATTAGACCAATCAGAAATGGATTATTTTGCCACCATGATTACAATGCCTGACTTATGTACAATAAGAGATGATGGAAATATGAGTCACTGACACTGGATCAGTGTCCACTTGTATTGATTCCTCTGTATTGTATGTTGAATAATATAATCAGACTGATGGTAATGAGAAGATGTCCGCTCTGCTCTTCTACCTCGTTCTTCTCCCACAGCGTCAGCTCCGGCTTCTCCTGCTCCAGTTTCTGAGAGCGGTCCACCACAAAGTAGATGATGTAGATGCTGCCGGCCAGAGACAGAAGGACCAGGATGTTGGCGAGGATCCGCAGACTGATCAGAACTGCCCTGAGGAAAGACACACACACACACACACACACGCACGCACGCACGCACGCACGCACGCACGCGCACACACACACATACACACACACACACACACACACACACACACACACACACACACACACACACACACACACACACACACACACACACACACACACACACACACACACACACACAGATACTTTGATCAGGGAAGGAGCACATGTTCCCTCTTCAGACATCTGCAAGTTCACCGTCATTTCTAAAATGTTTTATATTATATATTTGCTGCCACTGCAACCCTCTGTTCATATAGCCTTTCAAAAGCCCCAGCATGCATTATCAGAGATGGAAGAAGTACTCAGATATTTTACTTACATACAAGTAATAATACCTCAGTGTACCCACTAATCGGAAAAGCCATTTTTTGAATTATTTATATTGTATCAAAGGGTTATATTTATTGATTAATTAATTTGTACATAATTTGCTGCAAAAAATATAAATACTCAGGTAAATGAAAAATGCACTCTCCTCTACTGTCTATGTGAGCTGAGTTATAGGATACATAATATTTGTACAGCCGTATTTCAGAGTGGAAGATGACATTTAACGTGATATCTGAGGTATGCAGGGAGATACAGGACACATGCGTATCTAATTTTAATATCTTCTGTCGTCTCATATTAGTGATTTACTGTCAGTTCAGGATGAGTGCACATCGCTGTGAATCAACTGAAGAGCAACACAGGGTGCTGTAAATCAACTGGGTTAGAGAATGATTCAAAGGGTTATCCAAAAAGGAGAAGAACAAGAAGAAGAACAAACAAGTTAGAAAGACACCTACAGACTGGTATCCTTCTTCTTTTCCTGCTCCTCAACAATGGCTTCCTGTGAATAAAAACCAAGTATTACACTGTGACAGCCCCCTGTTATTAGCATGAGTTCACAGCAATCAATCACAACATGTTCTGTGAATTAAAAGGGCTAGATACACGAAGACAGAACAGAAAAAAAGAAATGTTTTCGTTTGGAAAGTGAATACAGATGTATGTAAGTCTAACTGGATGTTCACTATGTGTCCATGTGTCTCTGACCCGGATGTTGTTGACGATGGCGGCTCCTTTGCTCTCTGCAGCCTCAGGGTTCCCGATCAGGTAGTCCCAGGCACAGAACACCCTCCAGCAGAACGTGAAGTTCTCATCGGAGGCGCTGGCCAGGCTCAGACGAGAGTTCTTAGCCATTCTGAAGGAGGATTCAATAATCAGAGCACATTAGCAAACCATACAATATATTAAACATTTTTTAGAATGGTAATGCTGGTTAGGTGACCAAAGAGTTGATCAGTCGAACTTCAGTTCAGCTTTGGCATTCACAAAAATTATGAAGTTATCATTCCTACATATGTTGTTCCAGTGTTGTAGTCAAGTCACCAATTCACGAGTCCAAGTCACTCTCGAGTCACCACTCTTCGAGTCCGAGTCCAAGTCCGAGTCACCAAGGGAGAGTCGTAGTCGAGTCCGAGTCCAAGTCCGAGTCACCCAAGGAGTGTCCGAGTCGAGTCCGAGTCCGAGTCATCATTACCTGTGTTCGAGTCCGAGTCCAAGTCCGAGTCACCCAAGGAGTGTCCGAGTCGAGTCCGAGTCCGAGTCATCATTACCTGTGTTCGAGTCTGAGTCCAAGTCCGAGTCACCTAAGAAGAGTCCAAGTCAAGTCCGAGTCACAAGTCTTCATGTATTAATCTTCATGGATATATGTGTTGAAATGTAGCTGCTCCTCCACATTACTTTTATCCTGTCATGTTATACTAATCTGTCTATTGAACTGCTGTGAAGCGAGTTTGGCTACAATTCTTGTAATAGGTGCTATACAAATATAAAGCTTATTACTAATATTAATATTATTATTATTATTATATATAAATAAACTATGTTTAAAATGAGTTACCTTTTAGAGAAGTGATTATATTTGTATGCCAATATTTTCCTATGGTAAAGTTTTCGTTTTGCACTTTTATTTTGATAGTAATAAAATCGGGACTCTTATTTTGAAGGAACTTTTACCGGTTAAATCGGTTTACTGATAAAGATTTAGCCCCAGAAAGCACATGGCTACTTAGCATGCAAAATGACGTCATTCTGCATGTTAAGTAGCCGTGTGCTTTCGTGTTATCGGCTGAATCTTTATTTATTGATTAGATCACGTTACTCTGATGATAGTGTTCAAGACAGCCTATATGTCTGAACTCGATGTTTAGAGTAATGTGTTACGGAGCCTTCTCTTCAATATTGTTTCCACATAGAGCATTTTGCGCTGCTCTTTTCCAATGTCGAAGCAGAATGTGTGAAAGCATACAGCACGATGCAGGGTGTGTCTCTAGACATCTTTAGACTGGAATAGCGGGGCCCAGTACGTGAACTCGCCTCGCAGCCGGTGCACACGCCAGGATAGAGGACATCAGACTCCATAGAAAACTTGCTCGAGTCCGAGTCCGAGTCCAAGTCGGAGCGTCAATGTACAAGTCGAGTCCGAGTCATCGTGGGGGAAAAAATGCACGAGTCCGAGTCCGAGTCCAAGTCAGCGTACGCGATAATTCACGAGTCCGAGTCCGAGTCCAAGTCATCGTGTGCGAGAATTCACGAGTCCAAGTCCGAGTCGCGTCAATCAGTGCGCGAGTCCGAGTCGAGTCACGAGTCCCGAAAATCGGCACTCGAGTCCGACTCGAGTCCGAGTCCAGGACTCGAGTACTCCATCTCTGTGTTGTTCTATCTATTTTCTTACAACTCACTGGTTTTAATGATATTAAGCCTTGCCGTTTTGCATTGTCCCACTGATTGACTGGTAGGTGTTGCTATCTGCTCAGCTGCGTGATCTGGGCCCGCTTTAACTCCAGTATTGATACCCATTTGTAGATAGATTGGGAGGCAAGATGGCTACAGATAGAGAGACACCTTTGAGCTTTACAATTGCTCATCATAAAAATAAAATATGATGTCACAGAGACCACAGACTGTGGTTGCCACACAACTGATTGGTTTCAGGCACTCGTTCATTTATTCAGTTTTAAATGGTGCAGTGGCTTCTCATTAGTTTTAGTTTTTTTGTCCTCAACTTCAGGCAAACCATCACAGTATCACATTATCCTTGTCCCATCAGTATGATTTTTAATTTGTATAATGATTACTTTCTTAACAGGACGACGAAACTGTAGGCAAAGACCGCCATCCCAACCAGGAAGTAGGCGAGGGGCAACCGGTACCCCGCACTGCCAATCTTCCTCAGTCTGCCATAGTAACCATAGAATAACACGGAGTACTGCAGGTAGCCCTGTTGAGATCAAACACACACATTCACAGCATATTATTATTATTATTATTATTATTATTATTATTATTATTATTATTATTATTATTATATTATCATGTATCATGTATTATAAGATGCACACACACAGGTGCAGGTCAGGGTATTGCATAAACTACACACCCAAACGTTATTACCTTACAACTACTTTTACAAAACTAAAAGAGTAGAACACATCACGCCCGTTCTCAGAGTTCTGCATTGGCTTCCAAAAACATAAGAATACATTTCCAAATTGTACTTTTAACTTGTAAAGCGCTAAATGGACTGGGACCACCATACATGTCAGACATGCTGCTCTGTTACGAGCCACCCAGATCTCTCAGATCTTTGGAAGTGGGTTTACTCAGCTTTTAGCTTCTATGCACCGCAGACCTGGAATAAACTTCCTGAACATCTGAGGTCTGCCCAAACCCTGAGTTCTTTTAAATCCAGGCTGAAACCCTTTCTCTTTAATGCTGCTTTTCCACAGGTCATCTAACTATGGTTGATATGTTTTATCATTGCACTTCAGCACTTCTTGCTGCATTTTCTGTATTTACAATGTCTATTTGTTATGTGTTAATGCTTATGTGATGCACTTTGAATTCCCTTTGTGTATGACATTTGCTTGATAAATAAATGAACGTTAAACTTAACCTGCACTTGATATTTATTACATTACATGACATGTCACTTGTTAGACGCTTTTATCCAAAGCGACTTACATACTCAATACTGTGGGCAATCCCCACAGGAGCAATTTGGGGTGAAGTGTCTCAGGGACACAACGACATGCTGAGTGCAGTGGGGTTTGAACCTGTGACCCCCTGATCTGAACACCAACGCTCAACCCACTGCACCACACGCCACCATTTATGGTGTGCAGAAGATGAATTCTAATGTTTTAGGTGACTCCATGATCTTTCCTCCAACACCTCGATCACAAAAGCAGATTGCCTTATCAAACATGATGTACTTTATATAAACCTGAATTCAATTAAATTGGTATTTCTATTAAGTAGGCCCTCACAGCATTATGGAACAAAGCTCTGCCTGAATTCATATCAGGAAAGCTATTGAGGGCTTTCAGAAAATGCGACTGCAAAGCTGCCAATGCACAGGAAACATTTGATTCACTTAAACATAAATGTATATGTAGATATTTTAATAAGGATGTTAGGGATTTTACAGCCCAGTTCACTATTCTAGGTGTGTAACTTCTGGAAGGTGGTGGTGGCCTTGGAGTAGAGGTCAGGGAGGCATTAAAGTAATGTTTGAATAATGCTCCATTGTGTCTGTAAGTAATGTGCTATTGACAGAACAGTAAAAGGAAAGAGAGACTCACCCCGAGAGACCAGATGGTGTCCAGGTCTTGGGCTGAAGCCAGATGCTCCTTGGGGATAGTTTTACTCCTCGTTGTTCCAAACGGAGCTCCAGCCAGCAGCTAGTAAAATACAGAACAAGTCAAAGTATTAATGCAATAATACATCAAATATATTTTATACAGCAATGGGCATTGCTAAAAGCTTAAAAGGATAAACTCCATGTCTCCTTAGAAATCTTTCGTGCTTGCCTTTCCGACTACCAGACGGCAGTCAAAGCAGCCAAAACAGAGCACATTTCTCTGTTCATCTCCAAAAACAGCCATAAACCTCAAGTTCTTTTTAATGTCCTCAACTCGATCATTAATCCCTGCGATGCTTCTCCAATTGTGCCATCGACTACTCTCTGTGATAAGTTTCTTACATTTTGTATTGAATCTGCTCTTAGGCTAGCCCACACCAGTGCTACCCCAGATCCTGCTCCTTTTCTGTGCCCTGCTGTCCTTGACCACTTTGAGCCTGTATCCCTCTCTTCTCCCTCGGATGTAGTCAAGCACCTGCGGCCGACAAACTGCACCTCAGACAGCATTCCCTCTTGCCTTCTCAGTGATGTTTTTGATTCAGTTGGAGCACGTATTTTATTACTTTTAAACACCTCTCTTAGCTCAGGATGTGTCCCAGCTGCCTTCAAACATGCCGTGGTTAAGCCACTACTTAAAAAGAAAAATCTCGATCCCTCCATTCTCGCACATTTTAGGCCCATCTCCCAGCTACCTTTTTTATCTAAAGCCCTGGAGCGAGTAGTCTACGCCCAGCTGCAGTCTTTTTTAACCATCCATGGAATCCATGAAAAGTTTCAGTCTGGCTTCAAACCCATGCACAGCACTGAAACAGCCCTTTGAAGAGTTTTTAATGATCTGCTCCTAGCCGCCGACTCAGGTAGCCCAGCTGTCTTGGTGCTGTTAGACCTGACAGCTGCCTTCGACACTGTGGACCATAGCATCCTGCTGTCACGGCTTGAACAGTCCGCAGGCATCACAGGCTCTGCCCTTGCATGGTTCAGGTCCTACCTGACAGACCGTAGCTTCTCAGCGCAGCTAGGTGCCTTCTCCTCTGCCAAAGCCCCTCTTACCTGTGGGGCTCCCCAAGGCTCTATCCTGGGCCCCATCCTTTTTCTACTGTACAATTCTCACAAAACATAATATCCCCTTCCATTGTTACGCCGATGATGTACAGATCTATGTGCCTCTCAATCAAAATGCCAACTCACTACAGCAGTTGATGGACTGCTTAACAGAGATTAAATCCTGGCTGAGCCAAAACTTCCTCACCCTCAACGAGAGCAAGACCGAGGTCATCTTTTTTGGACCCCAACCTCCAGCCTCTCCGGTTGATATTCTGGGCTCTCTCAAAAAAAACATCCTCCCCTCGGTCATGAACCTTGGAGTGACCTTCAATAGCGCTTTTACATTTGATAAGCAGGTCAGCACCGTAGTCAAATCCTGCTTTTTTAAAATACGACTATTGGCTAAAACCAAGTCGTATTTATCTTTTAATGACTTAGAAAGAGTTATTAACGCCTTTGTTACCTCGAGACTGGACTATTGCAACGCTCTGTATGTGGGTATGGACCAGGCCTCAATTAGACGCCTGCAGCTAGTTCAGAACGCAGCTGCACGTCTTCTCACTGGCCATAAAAAGCGTCACCACATCACCCCTATTCTGGCCTCACTGCACTGGCTTCCAGTTCGGTTCAGAATAGATTTTAAACTCCTTTTATTTGTTTTTAAAGCACTAAATGGGCTGGCTCCGGCCTATATAGCTGAACTGCTCCAGCGCTACACCCCAGCCAGAGCTTTAAGGTCTGCTGACCAGCTGCTGCTGGTAGTGCCCAAGACCAGGCTTAAAACCCGAGGGCACCGAGCCTTCGCAGCAGCTGGCCCCAGGCTCTGGAATACTTTGCCCCTCCATGTGAGGTCGGCCCAGACCCTAGGAGTTTTTAAATCAACACTTAAAACTCACTTCTTCTCTCTGGCCTTCACTTAAATCCTAAAAACTTGGATCGTATATTGAAAAATAAGGTTATTACTCCTACTCATTCTTCAAAATCTTTTCTCTCTCTACTTCTCATACTCTCTACTCCTGTAATCGATTCTTTTCTATCCTCTCTTTATCCAAAACCTTTCCCCTCTCTGACTTCTCAAGGTTTTATTAGAGGGAAACAGGTTTGCAGAGAAGCTTATTCAGGCCGGGGAGTGTTATGACCGTATTCACAGCTTACCTCCCTACCTCTCATCAATTCCAACTAAGGCTCCAGTGGGGACCTTGCTCCCTGCGTGTGCCTCTCCACCTCTGTTTCTTACTCTCTTACTTGCTACCCTTTTCCCTCAACCTATCCTAAGGGAGTGCTGCTTCCCTGATGTCTCCCACAGGATTGTTGACATCTTCGTGGATTCATCTTCTTATTATAGACACATGCATTTCCAAACATTTGGTCTACCTACGCTGTAAAATGTATTATCTCGTCGATTTACACACGGCATCTATTGCATGTCTGTCCGTCCTGGGAGAGGGATCCCTCCTCTGTTGCTCTCCCTGAGGTTTCTCCCATGTTCCCCTTTAAACTGTGGGTTTTTCTCCGGAAGTTTTTCCTTGTACGATGTGAGGGTTTAAGGACAGAGGGTGTCGTTTTTCTCATACTGATATTCTGAACAAACTGTGCTGTTGTATTTGCTGTAAAGTGTCTTTACTGTAGGATATTTTTATTATATGTACAGCACTTTGGCTCGACCAAAAATCGTTTGAAAATGTGCTCTATAAATAAAACTTGATTTGATTTGATTTGATAAACATATTCACGTAAATGCCTTCAATTATTTTACATAATTTGTATTAATTCACTTTGGTGTTAATCAATAAATACTTTACATTAGTTTTTTGTTTTTTTTACGTATGATTTCAAATAACTGTTGCATGGTTTTTCCTTGTGTTGTGTGGTTTTAACATGATGTTGCATGATGTTTTTTACAATTGAGACTGTGATTAGAGGATGTAAAACAGCTGTGGTTACCTAGACACACCCCCACAGCACATGATTGGCCAATAATGCAAAATGTCTGCTTTATAAGCGGTCAGAGACAGGTGAGCAGGAGGACAAGGGACAGGAGAAACGCAGAAGATGAGGACAGAGAAAGGAGGACAAAGGAAGCAGAGGAGTATAACGCAACACAGTTGGAACCACTGGACAGGGGAAGGTCCTTGTGAGGACGGGAAAACGGAAGGAAAAGACAACCGGGAACACGGAAAAACTTAGTTTGAATACAGATAAGTAAAAAGAATGTGACCAGGTCAACCCCTATGCTAAATGAGTGTTAGCGTTTTACCTTAATAAAACGTTGAAATAGTGGCGTATTGTGGCACTGTTGGCTTTCCACAGAGAACAGCGCGACTATATTAGTAGAACATTATTTGAACAATTTGATTGCTTTATTTAGATATTTGTACTCTTGCTATTGCCATTTTAAAGACGGTTTACTGCTTTGTCTTAATCTCGAGAACTTTACCACATTTGAGTATTTTAGTCATTTTGTTTTATTACGTTTTATTCTTACATTGTTTTTTTTGTTTTTTTACCAAACATTTAAAAAAGTTATTTTGGTTGTCGTTTTCTTTTGGAATAAATTACTAAATTACTATAAATCTTTTAGTTTGTGCTCTATTATTTGACAGTGGAAATCGTTATTTCTGGTATAAAATAAGAACCCAGCTTTTGTGTGTGACATACAGGGCATTGTGCATGTCGCTTATACTAATATAATCATTCAACAATTTGATTTCCTTATAAGACAGAGATGAGAACATCGATTTTACACAGGTCTATTTGTTAAAGGGATACGCTATGCTAATCTAGGCAAACAAAACCCTTACTCTGTTCCCAAAGGGAAATGATATCAGAACTGGAGAGTATTTCTTCATAAAGGAAGAGCAAAGGACCGCAGTGGAGGCTTTTTTCTCAATGGAAATGTTTTCGTTCTTGTCTTGCTTCCCATGATAGACGTGATCTATCTTCAGTAGGTGTTTTTTTCCAAAATGTGTGCTACATTAAGAATATTTTTAGAGCTCTATCTTGTCGTCAGTCAACACTTTCCAACAACAACATTGCACAACAGTGTGGTCTGTTGACCACCGTTTACTCTAGGAAATACAAAGACTACAGAAAAGTGGCTCATACAGATCCAAACTACCTCTTTAAGTGCAGAGCTTTGCTCCTGCAAGGTTAGCCTAGCTTAGCATTAGACTGGAAGCAGGGGGAAATGGCTAGTTTAGCAACTAGTTACCTTATTATTGTGATGTATTGTATTTTTCTGTTGCAAAATGTATCAACAGTTTTAGAGTTAAAAGGAAACAAACTTACGGAAATAAAAAGTGAGCTACAACTAAGGTCACCCTCCATTCCACCATTGATCACATCATTTAAAGAATGAAACAAACGCAGACATCCAATCTGACAGAACACCGAGCATGTTGGATGTGGGATGAGATTACTCAGTAAGCAGAGGTGAGATAAAGGAGGGATAGGGTCGGGAGCAATAGTAGGAATGTCCCAACAAATTGGGGGAGGGTGTAAGAAATAAACAGGGGAATAAGAAAAGGCATTGAGAATGATAGGAAGAGTTATGGGGGGGAAATTGCTTGTGTCCGCAGCCTGCTGTTTGTATTTGAAGTGGTTGAGCTGAAGCTGCTGCAGAATCAGCAGATACACACTCATACTGTGCCAGGAGCCATCAGACTTCACCATCAGGGTTAACCATGAAACCCACGTGAAAACAAACCTGCATTGTATTTTAATGAGATTTGCACTGTATGTACATATGACTTTTACTCACACCCTCACACTCGCAGCTGCACACATATCTTCACATATATGTACATAAAGCTGATCAATATGTACATTCAGATGATCAGTATATATGTACATTCAGCTGAGCATTGTTTTACTTTATGTTGTTATTTTAATCCATACAGTTAATCACATGATTAACTCTTATTGTTAGTCTTCTTAATATCCTAGGGTGAACTCTTATCTGTATCGTCCTGTGTTTCACTCTTATTCTGTTGCTGCACCTGCATTTCTGGGGTATATCTTGTCTTATCTTATCATATGAAAAATCTTTACGAATGAAACCCTCAAAAAGATTGGACCAGAAAGTTCTACTATTTTAAATCAAATGGGATCAAACAGTGTGTGTGTGTTTAGTCAGCACTTGAGATGAACACTTATGACACTATTTTTTGCATCAAATGTCTTTGACATAGGAAGACATTTTAATGAGCTATAGATTTGAATCCCGGTAAGTGGCAGGTGTTTGAGTCATTCATTAAGCAGACTGAAACCTAACCTCTATAAAGTTTTAGGGAGATTTCAGTTTATTTCTTTCTTTTTATGTACTGACTTGAATGTAACATGTGATAACATCTGTTACACTACACTCTATAGTAAGGCTTTCTGTAAAAAACGTCATCATATCTGGCCTCGTGATAACCAGGCAACGTCATAGACCATCACCAGATACTCAATAATATGGAATTGTCATTTGGTGGAGGGGTTTCAATCAGAGACTCACTGACCTCTGGCAGCACGATGAAGGCTCCGGTCATGATGGTGAGGACGATGTTGATCCCGAACAGCCAGCGGAGGAAAATGAAGTAGGAGGCCACGCCCGACCCAAAGTGGCCTGAACAGGAAGGAGGAGACATATACGTTAGACAGGTTTCATACTACTCACACTCAGTGATGTAGTGCTACACAACCCAAACGTATCTTTTTATATGTACCTTATATGTACACTATACAATGTAGGATGGATAACTGTCCTGAACATAAGTAAAATTGTCCGTCAACTGCCATCACATGCCTGGATATGACTGTACTTTACAGATATTAAACAAAATTAAAACTGCGGTCACAGACGTGCACGCAGTTGTGGGCGGGCCTTCGCCTCCGAGCGCCCGCAGGGGAGTGTCGCCGGTCGTCCCGGCGTCCGGCGGACGCGCGCGAGTCCGCCGAAATGAGCCGTTTGTCAAACGTTTGCGGCCCGGAGTCCCAGGTCCTCCGGCAGCGACCCGGAAACGGATGTGGGCGCGCCGCCTGGAAGGAAACGGAATTTCCGTAAAGGCTCGTCGAGGATCGATTATCGCCGAGGCTGTCTGGAGGAGCAGTAACCGCGACGCGTGGTGCAGTGGGTTGTGCAGACTTTCTGGCCTTTACCGTTTATTTACTCAAGAAACGCATCTCCTCTGGATATTAGGCCATGTATATTTTTAATTCAACTGCTTTAATTGTGAGCCGACATTTACAGCGACAACAGCTGCCGAGGCCAGTGCAGAAAGCAGAAGAGTGCGTATAATATATATCACTCAGTAATATAAGTAACAGGCCGACATTACACACTGTATTTGTATGCTTTAGTAGACATCTCCAAATAAACAGTTGATATTTTGCATGAAACCAAATAGTGTAAATGGTCAAAAATGGTATCTTCTCTGTTAGCTTACGACCGCCCCGATTGAGCTAGCAACTACTTAATTCCCAATTCAGCATGATGTTGGATATGGGCGTAATTTGTCCTTGACTGGAATTTGTCCGATCATTTCCCTAAGAGCAGTGTGCAAAAATGTGCAGAAAATGCATGAAAAACGGCCATCTTTCCAAATTGCCATTTTTCTGGGGGGCGGGGCTAATGAAACGGCTTTTGAAAAATGTGTGCCATGATAATAGCAATTTGTATACAGCGTGTCATGAATATGGGGAAAACTATATGCGATGAGTGACTAACCCCTAACCCTAACCCTCGTCAAAAATGGCACATTCTCCGTTAGCTTACGTCCACCCCGATTGAGCTAGCAACTATTCATTCGCAATTTAGCATCACATTGGATATGGGCTCAACTGGTCCTGGAGTGGAATTTTTACGATCATTTCCCCAAGAGCAGTGTGCAAAAATGTGCAGAAAATGCATGAAAAACGGCCATCTTTCCAAATTGCCATTTTTCTGGGGGGCGGGGCTAATGAAACGGCTTTTGAAAAATGTGTGCCATGATAAAAGCAATGTGTATACAGCGTGTCATGAATATGGGGAAAACTATATGCGATGAGTGACTAACCCCTAACCCTAACCCTAACCCTAACCCTAACCCTCGTCAAAAATGGTACATTCTCTGTTCGTTTACGACCGCCCCGATTGAGTTAGCAACTTTTTTATTCCCAATTTAGCATGACTGTGGATATGGGCTCAACTGGTCCTGGAGTGGAATTTTTACGATAATTTCCCCAAGAGCAGTGTGCATAAATGTGCAGAAAATGCATGAAAAACGGCCATCTTTCCAAATTGCCATTTTTCTGGGGGGCGGGGCTAATGAAAAGCAATTTGAAATATGTGTGCAATCATAAGAGCAATGTGTATACAGCGGGTGGTGAATATCGGGAAAACTATATGCGAGTAGTTTGGAGTAACCCCTAACCCTAACCCTAACCCTAATCCTCGTCCAAAATGGTACATTCTCTGTTAGCTAACGTCCGCCCCGATTCAACTAGCAACTATTTTATTCGCCATTTAGCATGATGTTGGATATGGGCTGAACGTGTCCTGGACTGGAATTTTCCCGATCATTTCCCTAGGAGGTGTGAGCAAAAATGTGGTTCAAATGCATGAATAACGGCCACTTCTCAAAATGGCCGACTTTCTGGGGGGCGGGGCTAATGGAAGCCATTTGGAAATATGTCCGCAATTCCATGAGGAACGTCTGTGCCAACATTCGGGTAGTTGGGAGAAACTATATGTGAATACCGCACAATAGGGGGCGCTACTGAGCTAGTTTCACAAAACGCACGATTTTATTGTACAGTCTGGAAAAGGTCGTGGGCGGTGACGTGTGTCCCAAGTTTCACGTCCGAAGCTCATTTTAGGGAATTTGTGCCATTGAAATCGTCAAAAATGGCACATTCTCCGTTAGCTTACGAGCACCCCGTTTGAGCGGTCGACTATTCATACGCAATTTAGCATCACATTGGATATGGGCTGAACTTGTGCTGGAATTGAATTTTTCCGATCATTTCCCTAGGAGGAGTTCGCAAAAACGCGCTTAAAACGCACATTTTCCAAAATGGCCGACTTTATGGGGGGAGGGGCTAATGGAAGCCATTTTGAAATATGTCGGCAATTCCATGAGGCATGTCTGCGCCAAGACTCGGGTCGCTGGGAGAAACTATATGTGAATACCGCACAATAGGGGGCGCTACTGAGCTGATTTCACCAAACGCACGATTTTATTGTACATTCTGGAAAAGGTGGTGGGCGGTGACGTGTGTCCCAAGTTTCACGTCCGAAGCTCATTTTAGCGAATTTGTGCCATTGAAATCGTCGAACATGGCACATTCTCTGTTAGCTTACGAGCACCCCGTTTGAGTGGTCGACTATTCATACGCAATTTAGCATCACATTGGATATGGGCTGAACTTGTGCTGGAATTGAATTTTTCCGATCATTTCCCTAGGAGGAGTTCGCAAAAAACGCGCTTAAAACGCACATTTTCCAAAATGGCCGAGTTTTTGGGGGGAGGGGCTAATGGAAGCCATTTTGAAATATGTCCGCAATTCCATGAGGAACGTCTGTGCCAACATTCGGGTAGTTGGGAGAAACTATATGTGAATACCGCACAATAGGGGGCGCTACTGAGCTGATTTCACAAAACGCACAATTTGATTGTACAGTCTGGAAAAGGTCGTGGGCGGTGACGGGTGTCCCAAGTTTCACGTCCGAAGCTCATTTTAGGGAATTTGTGCCATTGAAATCGTCGAACATGGCACATTCTCCGTTAGCTTACGAGCACCCCGTTTGAGCGGTCGACTATTCATACGCAATTTAGCATCACATTGGATATGGGCTGAACTTGTGCTGGAATTGAATTTTTCCGATCATTTCCCTAGGAGGAGTTCGCAAAAACACGCTTAAAACGCACATTTTCCAAAATGGCCGACTTTTTGGGGGGAGGGGCTAATGGAAGCCATTTGAAATATGTCGACAATTCCATGAGGCATGTCTGCGCCAAGACTCGGGTCGCTGGGAGAAACTATATGTGACTACCGCACAATAGGGGGCGCTACTGAGCTGATTTCACAAAACGCACGATTTTATTGTACATTCTGGAAAAGGTCCTGGGCTGTGACGTCTGTCCCAAGTTTCACGTCCGAAGGTCATTTTAGCGAATTTCTGCTATTTAAATCGTTGAACATGCCACATTCTCCGTTAGCTTACGAGCACCCCGTGTGAGCGGTCGACAATGCGTTTCTTAATTTAGCATCACATTGGATATGGGCTGAACTTGTGCTGGATTGGAATTTTTCCGATCATTTCCCTACGACAATTGTTTGCAAAAGCGCCTAAAACGCACATTTTCCAAAATGGCCGACTTTATGGGGGGAGGGGCTAATGGAAGCCATTTTGAAATATGTCGGCAATTCCATGAGGCATGTCTGCGCCAAGACTCGGGTCGCTGGGAGAAACTATATGTGAATACCGCACAATAGGGGGCGCTACTGAGCTGATTTCACCAAACGCACGATTTTATTGTACATTCTGGAAAAGGTGGTGGGCGGTGACGTGTGTCCCAAGTTTCACGTCCGAAGCTCATTTTAGCGAATTTGTGCCATTGAAATCGTCGAACATGGCACATTCTCCGTTAGCTTACGAGCACCCCGTTTGAGTGGTCGACTATTCATACGCAATTTAGCATCACATTGGATATGGGCTGAACTTGTGCTGGAATTGAATTTTTTCCGATCATTTCCCTAGGAGGAGTTCGCAAAAACGCGCTTAAAACGCACATTTTCCAAAATGGCCGAGTTTTTGGGGGGAGGGGCTAATGGAAGCCATTTTGAAATATGTCCGCAATTCCATGAGGAACGTCTGTGCCAACATTCGGGTAGTTGGGAGAAACTATATGTGAATACCGCACAATAGGGGGCGCTACTGAGCTGATTTCACAAAACGCACAATTTGATTGTACAGTCTGGAAAAGGTCGTGGGCGGTGACGGGTGTCCCAAGTTTCACGTCCGAAGCTCATTTTAGGGAATTTGTGCCATTGAAATCGTCGAACATGGCACATTCTCCGTTAGCTTACGAGCACCCCGTTTGAGCGGTCGACTATTCATACGCAATTTAGCATCACATTGGATATGGGCTGAACTTGTGCTGGAATTGAATTTTTCCGATCATTTCCCTAGGAGGAGTTCGCAAAAACACGCTTAAAACGCACATTTTCCAAAATGGCCGACTTTTTGGGGGGAGGGGCTAATGGAAGCCATTTTGAAATATGTCGACAATTCCATGAGGCATGTCTGCGCCAAGACTCGGGTCGCTGGGAGAAACTATATGTGACTACCGCACAATAGGGGGCGCTACTGAGCTGATTTCACAAAACGCACGATTTTATTGTACATTCTGGAAAAGGTCCTGGGCTGTGACGTCTGTCCCAAGTTTCACGTCCGAAGGTCATTTTAGCGAATTTCTGCTATTTAAATCGTTGAACATGCCACATTCTCCGTTAGCTTACGAGCACCCCGTGTGAGCGGTCGACAATGCGTTTCTTAATTTAGCATCACATTGGATATGGGCTGAACTTGTGCTGGATTGGAATTTTTCCGATCATTTCCCTACGACAATTGTTTGCAAAAGCGCCTAAAACGCACATTTTCCAAAATGGCCGACTTTATGGGGGGAGGGGCTAATGGAAGCCATTTTGAAATATGTCGGCAATTCCATGAGGCATGTCTGCGCCAAGACTCGGGTCGCTGGGAGAAACTATATGTGACTACCGCACAATAGGGGGCGCTACTGAGCTGATTTCACAAAACGCACGATTTTATTGTACATTCTGGAAAAGGTCCTGGGCTGTGACGTCTGTCCCAAGTTTCACGTCCGAAGCTCATTTTAGCAAATTTGTGCCATTGAAATCGTCGAACATGGCACATTCTCCGTTAGCTTACGAGCACCCCGTTTGAGTGGTCGACTATTCATACGCAATTTAGCATCACATTGGATATGGGCTGAACTTGTGCTGGAATTGAATTTTTCCGATCATTTCCCTAGGAGGAGTTCGCAAAAACGCGCTTAAAACGCACATTTTCCAAAATGGCCGAGTTTTTGGGGGGAGGGGCTAATGGAAGCCATTTTGAAATATGTCCGCAATTCCATGAGGAACGTCTGTGCCAACATTCGGGTAGTTGGGAGAAACTATATGTGAATACCGCACAATAGGGGGCGCTACTGAGCTGATTTCACAAAACGCACAATTTGATTGTACAGTCTGGAAAAGGTCGTGGGCGGTGACGGGTGTCCCAAGTTTCACGTCCGAAGCTCATTTTAGGGAATTTGTGCCATTGAAATCGTCGAACATGGCACATTCTCCGTTAGCTTACGAGCACCCCGTTTGAGCGGTCGACTATTCATACGCAATTTAGCATCACATTGGATATGGGCTGAACTTGTGCTGGAATTGAATTTTTCCGATCATTTCCCTAGGAGGAGTTCGCAAAAACACGCTTAAAACGCACATTTTCCAAAATGGCCGACTTTTTGGGGGGAGGGGCTAATGGAAGCCATTTTGAAATATGTCGACAATTCCATGAGGCATGTCTGCGCCAAGACTCGGGTCGCTGGGAGAAACTATATGTGACTACCCGCACAATAGGGGGCGCTACTGAGCTGATTTCACAAAACGCACGATTTTATTGTACATTCTGGAAAAGGTCCTGGGCTGTGACGTCTGTCCCAAGTTTCACGTCCGAAGGTCATTTTAGCGAATTTCTGCTATTTAAATCGTTGAACATGCCACATTCTCCGTTAGCTTACGAGCACCCCGTGTGAGCGGTCGACAATGCGTTTCTTAATTTAGCATCACATTGGATATGGGCTGAACTTGTGCTGGATTGGAATTTTTCCGATCATTTCCCTACGACAATTGTTTGCAAAAGCGCCTAAAACGCACATTTTCCAAAATGGCCGACTTTATGGGGGGAGGGGCTAATGGAAGCCATTTTGAAATATGTCGGCAATTCCATGAGGCATGTCTGTGCCAAGACTCGGGTCGCTCAAAGAAACTATATGTCACTACCGCACAATAGGGGGCGCTACTGAGCCGTATTTGCAAAAACGCACGATGTTTTTGGACAGTCTGGAGGAGGCCGTGGGCTGTGACGTGTGTTCCGAGTTTAAAGGCCGTAACTATATTTTCCCGCTACTTATGGGTCGGTAATGGTTTTTAACCCTTCGATTTCGACATAAAGCTGAATAGGTCACGCCCACTTCCGTCATTGGTTGCGCCCCTTTAAATCTCAGTTGATACTCATCCTGCCAGTATGTGTATGACATAATATATTTATTTGGTCTATCGGATCTTCAGGTATAAATTTGTTGTGCTTTTGGCGCCCCCTATTGTCCGAAATGAACATGCTTTTTTGTGCCTATTCCCCAAGACAGACTGAACCTTTCCATCGAAATCTGTGATATTTGGATACATTGCGGATGAATTAGGAGCATTTATGTCTAAGCCACACCTTTTTGCTAATACGTTGCGATTGATGTCGGGCACATTTTTCCACACGTCGTGCTCATGTTCTACGGTAGTGTGTGTGTGACCCTCCACTGATGCTGTACACTAAGTTTGGTGTTGAAAAGCAAAAAATTGAAATTATAGTTAATATTTCACTGTTTTTCACATTATGCTAATTTAAAAAAAATCAAAGTAGGCGGAGCTTAGGGATATGAGAGGATAATATGTAGGGCTGCTCCGCCCGGATAAGTGTGCAACATTTCAGGTCCATCCGAGTTACGCGGCGAATGTATGTACATTTTTCTAAAACTGAATTTTCACAGGTGGCGCTAGAGAGCATGTCGGAAATTTTGCAACCATGGAATCCAGAATGTAAAATGTTTCACCCGTCCTGGCGGCGTTGCCAAATGTCGCTACGTCAACAGTGTGGGAACCCCCTCAAAAACAGGTTTAAACCGCAGACCCGGTAAAATAAGAATAATAGCGAGCACGATTTCAATAGGTCTTCGCACACTTCGTGCTCAGGCCCTAATAAATGTTAGCATTTCGGTCATGATTCAGTGACAGAATTACTTTAGATGAAATTATCAGAACAAAGTGGTGACTCACTTTCGATTTTCTTAATCCTAACTTCCCAGGGAATGAACAGAACCAAAATGTTGTAAAGTACACGTGAAAGTTTCTTCAGCAGCTGCAGGAGGAGAAAGAGAAATTATTTAAAAAAATGTAAAATAATGTTGTTGAGTTCAATATATTCATCTGTAATGCCATATAGAAACACCTCCTTTAGTCACTATAGTGTTGCATCTGAGGCTGGATCAATGTCAGGTTGATAAATGTTCATATTTGATCAGTTTGGATGACAGAAAACAGTTTATTATAATGGTGATAATACATTGATTTATAGTGCTTTCAAGAGAACACAGAACTTTAACATGAAACACTACAGGATTGAAGACCCAGAAAACTGAAACTGAAGTCAAGTGCATAATTCAGCAGGACATTAGATCACATCTGTTCTGTGAAGCGTATCTGATAATAAAATAATATGAGCATGCAGCACTGCTAAAAGCCTTGTTGACAGAGATTAACAACAAAAGATGTTCACATGTGTCTCTGTAGTGCTGGGTTATGTCTTCCTTATTACCAGTTTAGTTGAATACTCCATTCTGATTGGTCGATTTGGACATTTCAGAGCTTGTTATTACTCGGGTTATCCAGACCCTCCGCTGTGTGTCGGGATCCATGATCACCGTCGGGTGTTCTTTTTCCATTAATGATCGCCTTGTTGCACATTATCCCTTATCTTATAACTTTGTAACAAATCCACCAAAACACATGCCATTGCCTTTCAAAATAAAACACATGCACTGTATCAGTAAGATGAATCCTGACAAGGATACCAATATAGAACCATTCACATGACAGGTTTAGAGCAGTGATTTTAAAACATAAGAGTCTGTGCCGTAAGAGACTGTCAGGTGTGTTGTTTGAAATTGTCCTATTTCACTTAATCGGCTCAAAAGATATTATTTAGTTGCTGTAAATACAATCCAACAGTGTCATTATCCAACAACACATTCTCACTCCCAACTTGTACTATAGTGACGTTATGTCAGGATCCCTTGGCGTCACTATCAAACGCAGTGGGGGGGGTCCTTTAGCGTCAATTTTCAACTATCAGGGAGTCCCATTGACTTGCATAGAGCTCCCTGAACGTTAGTAATAGACGAGTTGAGATCACGGAGAAATGCTCTCCGCAGATCCATTCTCACAGCGTTATAAACCTTTCTCTTACTCAATATCAAGCCACACTTATTGTTTTTACTTCTTTATTTTAATTGTATAATGTCGGACTTTTGTTGCCGTCAGTTAGGGGGAGAGTAGGGGCTCAGAAAACTGAAATCTGTATTGTTTCATAGGTTAAAGCACGTTATTTAATTTTTTTGTTGAATATGTTATATGAAAATTAAAAATATTAAGAGTAAATACAAAATAGGGGGAAAGTAGAAGGTCAATGATAGAAATATAGAATATAAAAAATTCAAGAAGATACGTAAGTGATCTCTACAATAAAACAGTTTAGTGCCGGACGTCCAAAGATATTACGATACGATACGATACTATATACTTTATTGTCCCCGTAAGGAAATTTGTTCTGGACTCTGTCCTGCAGTTCCGCATACATGTACATATACAAACATAGTGGACATTAAGAGACATACACATATCATCAGTCATACACCGTTTGAACAAACACAATACACAGACGCACATACTGACAATGGCGACCTATTGCACAACCCTCATGGCCAACATTTAAAAAGTACATTTCATTACATTTGACCACATTTCATTTCATGTGAATGTTAAGAAGCTTAATGGACATAGGTAGGAATGAGTGCTTATAGCGGTTCAGCCTGCTCTTGGGAACCCTGAATCTTCTACCAGAAGGTAGGAGCTGGAATTCTGGGTGGAGTATGTGGGTGGGATCAGACACAATTTATTTTGCCTGTCTGATAATGGACTGCTCGTATATGTTTTGGAGAGATGGGTGTTTTTTAACCCCCATAATTTTCATAGCAGTCTGTACCAGGCGAGCGATCTGTGACTTTGACTGCACTGTCAAGTTACCATACCAGGCAGTGATACCATACCTCATGATGCTCTCCAACACTGCATGATAGAACAGTAACATGAACTTCTGGTCGACTCCGAAAGCCCGGAGTCGACGCAGAAAGTACAACCGCTGTTGAAGTCTAGAGCACAGACCTTGAACATGCGCCTTCCAGCTGAGTGTATTATCTAGATGGACACCAAGGTACTTATAGGAGCTGTTATGGGTTCATTGTGGATAACCACCGGCCTAAGGTCACCCACTGCCTTTGGGTCCCACACCATCTCCTCAGTCTTCTTCACATTCAGCACTAGATGGTTAAAATCACACCACTGTACAAATCTCTCTATTTCAGAGTGATAAGCCGATGAACTGCTGCCTTTGTGCATTAAGCCAAGGATGGCTGTATCATATTAATAGGAGGATGTGCAAAACAGACAAACTAATTAACCTTTATTTAAACATTAAAGAATACTTTAGGTTAAGGTCTTCTTTTAAATAAGAAAAAAGCATTGGGGGTATCAACAGATAAATATTAAGCCTGACAAACTACTTAACGTTTAATATATTGCATAATTTGTTTTGGCACTTGACAATCAACTTTCCTGCAATGTTAACTATGTTGAAGCCAACCCGGTATCACGGCAAGACGTGAACATGTGACGATCTACCATGCTGGGAGACGTGAATATGTCACAGTTTCGTCCCTTCAAACGTGACAGTTACACGCTATTGTTAACATGGCCCAACCAGTGGAGAAATACCCGGAAGTGCCAAGCAAATGGTCTACCGCGCCTATTGGTCGGTTTTTATTGTCAAAATTAGATGTTTTTAATTTATTTTTTAATAGTCACACTCGATTTCGCCAATTTTCTTGTTGCCCTAGCTGGTCGACACCTCTTTTAGCAGAAACAAAGGCTACATTAATGTATTAAATCGATGTTAATCCATGTGTGTGGATCATAGACTGTATAACAAGTCTGACAAACAGGAAGCACTGCCTTCAAAACTGAAAACGTGACGTGGATCATAAATATATCAGCAATTAAACAACATCTTACATTTCTTTTCACACAATACGTCTCCTTGCAGTATCAATACTAATTCGGCTGACTTTTATATTTGATCCAATTGGTAGATAGGTTATATTTACACCATAACGGTGCACAGCTGATAGAAAAGGACTTGTCGTTTTTAAAGATATTACTGATTTTCTTTGAATATAAGAATGTAAATACTGAGTTGAGAGAATAGTCAGGGGATTTGGGTGATGGGAGACACATCTATGGATTCAGAATTTCAATAGCTTACTGTTAAATGACGGATATACCTTTCTGTCTGTGATGTTTTACAAATCAGATATTAGAAGTAAAACATGTGAAATAATATAGCAATATCCTGTACAATTATGTGAAAACATGAATAAAACTACACATCTTCAGATGTTATACATACACAAGTGTCCTACACTAATAATACAAAGTTATTATGGCTGTGTGTACCTTGTGTGCACCGCCTAGTGGTTAAAGCACGTTATTGAATTAGTTGTGTATATGATATGTCAATGAACCTTAGAAAATCTTGAAATCTTGAAAGGGATATGCAAAATAGCCATTATATACAGTCTTTAATTAACTATTAGTAGAGAATAACGAGTAATGAATATACTTTATAAGGATCTGCAGATAAATGTTTAGTCTTCTCAAGCACCAACTATCAAATATCTCTCCTGATTGTTGGCACTTGACAATCACCTTTCCCTGAATTTTACTCAGGTGTAACTAAAGCCTGATTTAAGGGTTGTTTATATTTCACATCATTAATCAGAATCTGCAAAGTAACTCAAATAAATGTAGTGGAGTAAAAATACCAGGTTAACCTCTGAATTGTAGTGGAGTAGAATTGCTGTTTTGTTTAGTAATGGATATTGAATATGGAATAAAGGTTTTGACAAGACCTGGTGTAACAATAATCAAAAAGGAAGAGCTCCAGATGTCAATGATCTAAACAAAACAGCACACCTGAAATGTATATTTAAATACTTTATTAAGGGCAGTGAATTAGTTTTTTCTGTATGTTTTTCAAATCAGTGTTATACAGTAAGTGTCATAGACAGTGTTACATTGCTATTATTATCCTTAAAATATATATAAAACAAAACCACTTTTTATTTGAGTGGTTTACTAATGACAGTTAATTCTGTTTCATTTTTGTGAAAAATAATAAAATAATACAATTCAATAACGTGCTTTAACCACTAGATGTGCCTTTCTATCAGCTGTGCACCGTTATGGTGTAAATACAGCCTATCTACCAATTGGATCAAATATAAAAGTCAGCCGAATTAGTATTGATACTGCAAGGAGACGTATTGTGTGAAAATAAATGTAAGATGTTGTTTAATTGCTGATATATTTATGATCCACGTCACGTTTTCAGTTTTGGCGGCAGTGCTTCCTGTTTGTCAGACTTGTTATATCTATGATCCACACACATGGATTAACATCGATTTAATACATGAATGTAGCCTTTGTTTCTGCTAAAAGAGGTGTCGACCAGCTAGGGCAACAAGAAAATCGGCGAAATCGAGTGTGACTATTAAAAAATAAATTAAAAACATCTAATTTTGACAATAAAAACCGACCAATAGGCGTGGTAGACCGTTTGCTTGGCACTTCCGGGTATTTCTCCACTGGTTGGGCCATGTTAACAATACCGTGTAACTGTCACGTTTGAAGGGACGAAACTGTGACATATTCACATCTCCCAGCATGGTAGATCGTCACATGTTCACGTCTTGCCGTGATACCGGGTTGGTTGAAGCACTTATTTTAACTGATATTATACATATTAATTATACTCTTATAAGGTGTATATGGATAGAATAAGAAATGCGCAGATTATGACAGTTTAATGGTGGAGGTACACAGTGTAATACTGGCAACTTCTAATTATGGGAAATACGAAAACGTCTTTTAAAACTACAATTCCCAGTAGAGCCGTGCCATAGAACATTGGCAGCATGTGCAGGTGGACCCATTCAAATCCAGTTTTGGATAGTGTGCCGTCGTTGG